GAATATCTCAGATGTTTAACCGAATCTATCAGACTCAGTGTTTGGTTCTGATCCATTCTTGGTTCTAACCGTGTGTTTTGGGTCTTTTTCCTGTTGTTATTGGACTGAATGGGCAGGTGAAGGAGCAGGGGCAGGCTGGTCAACTTAAAAATGTTTAATAAAGACCAGTTACTTTAAACAAACAAGGACCTGGAAGAAAACCAAAGGATCATTGGTGTATGGGTTATGCAGCAGGGGGATCTGGCATTTAGATGAAGCAGAGGCTTTATGCTGTAGGATGGGGATTACAAAGTGAGAACAGGTGAGCAGCTTAAAGAGCAAGTCACCCCCAAATCAACTTTTTTTTTTTGCTGATAAACTGTATAAATGCGTGTCTAATCATGCTGCAGAAATGTGTAGTCAATAGTTTTGCACTATAGTGCATTTTAGTTAAATGGTAAATGGCCTGTATTTGATATAGCACCTTCTAGAGTTCTTGAAACCCCCCAAGGTGCTTTACAACACAACCAGTCATTCACCCATTCACACCATAGACTGTACATATACTGGACAAACGGATTCCATTGGCTTCAATAACACGTTTGTTGTCTATAATGGGAGGTGGCCACCACCGCCATTTTGACCGTGTCACAGGTTCCGTCCAGCCCAGACAATTCCATAAAAGGGAAGAGAGGAGGCGCTGAGGGTGTGGCTGTAAGGCTGGGCTCGAGTGACGACACCCAGGCGAACTAGCTACGAGCTAACCTGAAGCTAACCCTGGCTAACCCAAAGCTAAAGCGGAGGTGGGAGCCGAGCTAACGGATGTAGCCACCTAGCTTCAACCCAACCGGAGCTAACTGGAACACCCATCGACCTGAACCTTACACGGAGTTTAGGTGGAGGTTTTCTGCGCCTGTTCGTGAGAAGTACCTGTATTAAAAAAGTTTTAAATCGGTAAGTTTATAATTTATTTCCGTAATGAAAACATTTTGCTTTGAGCAAGTTTTCAGTACAGTTTTTTTCGGCGCTATCACTCCTGAGTCGCACCAGCCATTAAATGTATCATGAATAAGAGAAAATATATTTAAGTCGTATTTTGGGGGGACATTTTATTATCTTTCTTACAAAATCTGAGACCAAGCGTTTCACATTGCAACACAAGCACCGGTAACCATAACAGAATGAACAACAGCCAGCAGAGGAGAGGATGGCGGTGTTTCAAACCCTCCCGGCCGGCGAGGACAGCTCATTCCTGGGCTGGAGCCGGCCCTCAGCACCCCGCCACAGGCTCTAACAGATGCTGGCGGTGTTTGAAACCCTCCCAGCGGGACAGGGGGACTCATTCTTGTGTGGGTCGGAGTCGGCCCGCAGCAGCGCGGTGTAGCCTACATATTTTGTTATATAAGTCGCTCCGGAGTATAAGTAGCAGGACCAGCCAGAATATGTAAAAAAGTGCGAGTTATAGTCCGGAAAATATTGCAGTTATTAGTATTCGAGCTAAATTAGCAGCGTAAATATATTTCATATATTTCCAAAATATTATACTTGTTTGTATCTTGTACAGCCAACTAGTCTTTATTCTGGACTCAGTACAATTTACCAAAAGTAAAGAGACATTCTACAGATGAAGTAAGCACAAGATAACTTACTGGAAGACACGGAATTATCATCAGAACCAGAACAAGAGAGCCTGATAACAGTCGTGAAAATAACAGTTAAAAAGTATGTATGTATAATAGAAATAAAAATATATTAGAATTAGTGTAACTCACTGTGATCCAAACAAATCAGCCATAGATGATTAGTAAATATGACATGAGGTCTGGGAGTTTTTAATTTTAATTTTAATTTTTTTGTTAGATCTGTTTAAATGTCACCATGGCAGCCTGTGTGTCTCCAACATCAGCTACACAAAGCAGCAAGTGTAAGTTCCACATACCTGTCTCACCACTTCATGTATGGTTTTGTACTTTAAACAATTATGACAAACCTGTTATTTTTTCTCCATAGCCATTTGGATCATTGGAGACAGCTGAGTGAGGCGTGGTGCCCAGAGAGCTGCAGAGACAACCTTGGCCTCCCTGACGTCTGTGTCTCCTGGTTTGGTTGGGGCGGACCATCGACATACATACATACATGTGCCGACACTTTGCGCCCTGTTTTATAAACTGTAGTGTTAAAAATAAATGTTTTTGCTCAATTACTGGAATTTCTTTGGTTAAGACAAAAGTGAGGAATAATCATTTACAAGTTATTTGTACAACAGGCCCATTTTAAATCCCAACAGTTTCTTAGCAGACAATAGAAATGTGTTCTTTACTAACTTTACTTGGTTTAAAAATCTTACTAAAATAGTGCCGTATTGCAAAACCCAATCATACTTGTTATGTATACATTAGCTTTGTAGATATTTTTTACAGATATATATTTGTGTGCAACAAATCCAAACTTAAATATTTTGTCATTCTTTATTGAAAAACAACAAAATACAGTTATACAGAAGTGTGGGAAAATGATAATGTGAAAGTATTGCTATTTAAATGTAATCCTATTTATCTTTAAAAAGAAAAACTCTAAAAATGTCCTGTACAGCATCATGACAGAAGAATGGTGGTCTGTCTGTCAGAATGTGCTGAACAGATTTGCTCTTTGAGGAGGAGTGTCATGTTTGGAGGAAGGTACTTAACCCAAGACATGCAGAATACAACACTGACCAAAAACTGATGGAAAAAATGATTTATTTATAAGGAGGAACTTAAGGTGCACAGATAAGTCTGTGGTTGGAACTGCAACAACAGCTCAGCATCTGGAGGAGGGAGAACACAGGTGAGCTTAGGTTCTGGTTTCAAAATCCATTGTAGGCAGGCAGAGGTGTTCAGCAGACTTACTGTGGTGGGTGTATGTGTTGGCTGGAGGAGAGAGAGGTAGAGAGCCGGGGGAAGCGCAGGAGAGGGAGCAGAGGTGGAGAGAAGCGGGGCGTCCTGGTGGATGGGGCACTGGGTGAGATGAGAGGTGGGTTATGGAGGCTGGTGATAAGGTCCGTGTGCTGAATATCCAAATCCTGGAGTAGAGGTCAGTATCCAATGAGGTCGACAGGAATCCTGAAGAATGGTAAATCCAATATAAGAGCAAAAACACTACGAAATAACATTAATCCTAGGAACACTAGAGGTAACACGAGTGGCTGGTTACTACCAAAACTGAGGCAATCTTCTGGCGTCAAATTGTGTCCTCCATCCACCATAAATAGGAAAGCACCCCGCTGATCGCTGATCAGGAACGGCTGGGGTGGAGTCACCAGAACCATGAAGAACGTGTCTCCAGAGACAACCCGGGTCCTGGTACCGATCAGGAAAGCGGACCTTATCACCCAGAGCTGCCAGGTCACGCTCAAAGCCTTCATGTTCACGCTGCAGAGCCTGAACACTGGCCAGGTGGTGGCCGTAGTTGTCTGTGTTCAGGGCCTGGTTCTTCTCCTCGATCCACTCTTTGGTCTCATCAGCATCTCTGAGAAGACATCAGAACTCCGTCTGAGTGTGGGTCCAAACTCTACTGACCCGTAAGCGGCGCATAAGTGTGCGGGGTACCTGTGGAAGCGCTACACCTCATGGGCGCTGCCCAGCATGTTGCTCCGGTCTTCAGCCAGCTGTTGCAGCGAGCGCCAGCGGTTGTTCAGCTCCTGGAGAGAAACCAAACCCAGTGAGATGAAGGTGGACGCCAGCGGGCTGGACGCCGGACGAGGAAACCTGGAGACGGATCGCTCAGACAGGAAGGGAAGAGCTTCCTCTTACCTTGATGGAATTAAAGTTAGCCGTCGTCTGAACGCCCAACCGTACGGTCTGAGGTCAAAGGTCACAGGAAACACACACCAGTCAGCAGTCATACAGATGCATAAAGATAACTGTAGCCATGGCAACCAGCTGACATGTCCCCACTTTCACCAGCACCTGGTGCCTGCCGGGTCACCTGAATTCCTGTGTGATTTCAGCACGGTCGGCCGTGACTGCGGCCATCAGAGGTGACCTCTGATCAGCTGAATGAACTCACCTTCTAGGGTGACGCCGTGTTACCCCGGGTTTCCACGGGAGCCGTCAGCAGCACGTTACTGCAGCAGCACGTCTTGCTCGCGTAAGCTGCTGCTTGGCCCTTCCCACGAGACGCGAAGCAGCAGGGGAGCAGCTGTCACCGACAGGGCACGAAGTCACACGAGTGACTTCGTCAGTAAACACAACAACAAGCAGGAGAAAACTACAACATGGTTTGTGTTTTATGTTCTGTCCGTTTTATAATCGCCAATACGGACCTGAAAAACAAAGGAGACCGCTAGCTAGGTGATAACTTCTCACGGGGACGCACAGTTAGTAACCTTTTTTAAAAGTAAAGCAACCGGAAGGCAGTACGTTCTTTATTCTGAAAATCTCGGTAGCTTCTCTCCATTTCCGCGTCCGATTTCCTGTCTTTCCTTCCCCAAAAATGTCGAACTTGACCCGTTTCAGAGGCGTCGCGCGTAGAAAATAGAACCGGCGCGTAAGGGCCGCGACATGCTGCTCCTGAGACGTGGCCGACTCGCGCTGCTGACGGCTCCGGTGGAAAAGGTTCTGTTGACCACAGCGGTTCCTATCAGCAGCTATGACGTGCTGCTGCAGTAACGTGCTGCTGACGACTCCTGTGGAAAGCCGGGGTTAGAGTCGGCTTCATCCTGTAAACAAACAAATGAGTGGTAACAAAAACACCACGTCTGGTTCTGGTGGAGGCGGAGGACAACACGCACCTTTCCAGGAGCAGAACCCAGATGTTCTTGTTGCTACAAACAGAGACGAGCAGAGTTAACAAACCAGGAAGTGAGAGGGACCAGCTGCTGCAGACAGGTGACGCTCACCTGAGCCTGAACCATAGGAGCCTCCTCAGCCATCAGACCTTCTGACTCCAGTTCAGATGCCACCTTGTTGATGTCCCTCAGGCGGGACTCGTTGGCCTTCAGGTCCTGCAGGACAAAAGCACCTGCTGATTATCACCTGAGCTGATCTGACAGCTGCTGCTGGAAGACGGAGAGGAGGAAAAGTCCGACCTTCTGGAAGTCGTCAAACTTCTTCTGCAAGACCTCGACCTGCTCCAGGTCCGACCCGTCTCTCCATCCTCATTCAGCTAAAGACGCGAGTTCAAGTAAAACAACCTAAAGTCACACAAACACAAAGCAGGTGTGGAGATGTTCGCTCTGAGCTGGAGGTCGTTCCTCGGCTGTGAAGGGCATACGAACCTTGTTGGTGCTGTTGAGCAGCGTGAGGATGTCGCCCTTCTTCATGGTGACCTCTCCAGGACTCTTCTCCTGGTAGTCGTACAGAGCCAGAACCAGCTCCTTCCCGGTCTCATCGTCAGTTGGAGCCACTTGTTGCTGTTGGGTTAACAGGTCTGGTGTTAGAACGTGGTGGATAAGAATGTTCTGACGGGCCGAGGGTTCTGAACCAGCGAAGTGACCTGGACCCAAACAAAGTGAGCCAGAACCTGCAGACACCTCAGAAACATGTCAGGACCAGACCTGCTCTACCTTCCTCCATTATGGTCTCTCCTTTCTGGGTGACAGCCTTGATGCGAGGTTCATGACCTGTGATCTCAGCCTGCAGAGCCTGGTGCTTCTTCAGCAGGTTCTGGACACCAATCAGGTCCTTCCCTGAGGACACATGTTAGAGTTCAGCATTATGCAGTAGACAGACCAGTTTAACCTAGGGGTTTCTTTCTTCTACAATCTGCTCTTTAACTGTATTATTTCCTGCTATTTCAGCTGTTAACTTTATTTTTTCTGTAAGTGTTTTTCTCTCCAGAAGAAGCTACAATGATGTTCTGCTGAGCTGTGGTGGCCTCATGGAGGGGGCCATCGTCTAGCACACTGCTGCTAACCACTTAATCATTCTCCCTCTCCTGATAATAACATTGTACTTTCTTTGATGTTGGATGTACTACTGCTAGTTTACCCGTTTAATTATAGATTCACTAGGATAAATACAATAAAGTTTATCTCTCGCCAAATTGAATATTTACTAAGAAATCACAATGTAACGTGTGTGTGTGTGTGTGTGTGTGTAAAAGCCATGCGTAGTGTTTATTTATAAAGCATATGTTGTTGGATTTTATCCAGAATCAAGACTTTGAAAATATATAGTTTAATTACAGTTTGATTTATTTGACATCTGTATAATGTTTATTATTTAGTTTTTTCCCCCTAAATACCTAACGTTTTAGTTAACATGAATATTAGTCATTCATCACAATACATGAAGTTACACATTTTAAATTTTAATAGGGGAAGACTGCAGAAGGGAGCAGTAAAATACAGGGGGTCCCCTGCAAAAACTAACTTTACGAGTCTGATGAAAGTTGCTGGTATTCCCGCTGCTTCTTCGGTAAACAGCGCCAACAAAAACAAAGAAACTTGGGATCTTGTCGGCGTGGCAGTGGGATTTAAGGGAAACGCTGTATGCCCTATAGACTTCTCAACGAGCTGCAGTATTTCTCCGGTCAGATCTGTCTCCGAGTTCCACGAGCGGTCAGCCCGCAGCAGCGAGGCGCCGCATCGATCAGCCTGCCCGGCCTGACCGCTGGGGATTACCGGATGAAAGAATAGAGCACAGAAGTGTCCCCCCAAGCGGCGCGCCCCGTCATATTTCAACCCATTTTTATCTTAAATGCACTGGGTTTTACCCTATTACCCATTTAAATATGCCCTATTAATTATTTTACCGTATTTTACATTTAAATTTCATGGTTAAACAGTACATGCTACATGTTAAACTGATAGTTAGCTAGCTACTTCGGTAAACTCAGCTAGTTTAAAGGCAGCAGTGACATAAAATACAAATATAGATTTTAACTTACCGAAAAAAATGAAGTGGAGACTCCTTGGACGCTCTATTAGTGCAATTAATACCACAGCAAGTCATTTTGTCCAACAATTGCACCAATATTATCCAAAACAGAATTCACAAGCACAGAGACTCAAAATCCCGACACAGTTTCCAGGAGAGACCGAGGCTGTACTGAGGCCTTTCCACGGAGCTAGCTCTGTGGTCACGTGGGTCTGAGGCGGCGGTCACGTGTGTCGGATGCTCATTAATTATACAGAATTTTAGGCTTTCAATACACTTAAACAGAAGAGTGAGAAAAAAATTCACCCCCCTCAGAGTTGTCATGAGTATAAACTAGATAATTTAGACAAAAAACCATTTTTTGAACCAGGCTGTAAACATGTTTATTTCTGCTGTGAAAATGGCATTTTTAACATGGGAGTCAATGAGGATTTGCTCGCTTCTGGTACCAGCCCCCAGCGGATGAGGGTGGAACTGCAATTTTTCTTACTTCCGGGTTGGGACCATTTTCTGAGCGGCATTGTGGGGGCTTGATTCACACACACATTCACACACTGGTGGGGATGAGCTACGATGTAGCCACAGCTGCCCTGGGGCGCACTGACAGAGGCGAGGCTGCCGAGCACTGGCGCCACCGATCCCTCCGACCACCACCAGCAGGCAACGTGGGTTAAGTGTCTTGCCCAAGGACACAACGACAGCGACAGACTGAGCGGGGCTCGAACCTGCAACCTTCCGATTCCGGGGCGAGCACTTAACTCATGTGCCACCGTCGTCCCAATGTTAAAATGTATCTTTTCTGCCTAAAACTGTCAGGGTTGTGCCGTTGTCAGGTAAAAACTCTGCACTGCATTTGAATTTAAATCTGCCATCGCTATTGGCTATGAGGCACCCTAGGACTTTAGCGGCTCCGCCCTCTCGGTCTGCTACGCAACAGCATTTGTTGCATTTTTCAAACATGAAGTGGGAGTGGAGTAATACTCTGGTAGGGGGTGACTTGCTCTTTAACAGCAGGTGTACAAAGTCAATGACTTGAGAACTAGCCAGTCAAAGAGTCTTTCTCAATGTTAAGAAGCCTCGCCTTGATGTCTTGGCCCCACTCCGGTTGGCTTGGAGATACGTCATCAGGAACTGCCAAGACGTGTTCCAATGTTCATGTTCTACCGAGGCGTCTGTTCTTCATTTGTTAGCCGTTTAGCTAGCTGAGCAAGGATACACGGAAGGTGTCTTTTAGCCTAGCCTTGGTCAAAAAAGTTCCAGAATAAAGCATGGTATTTTCAAAAGGATGGCGGTTCAGGAGCCGGCAGCTACTTCAGGGGCAAATTTCCAGTTTAATTGTAAGTCAACTAATTGTAGCGATCAGGCTGATATCTAAAATGTTTTTTATATCCAAGGCAGTAGACTATGGTCATGTGACTGCCATGGAAGTCGCGGTCATGTGAAGCAAGTCTGTTCCATTTACTGTTTTCTTTGACCAAGGAGGGACCGTGTCCTCGTATGCAAGGCGCCTGGCCTCGCAAGACATCGATTTTCGAGGCCAGGCGCCTTGACTTTGAGAAACACCCAGAAAGTAGCGAGACAAAGGTGCGCTGGTATATGTTTTTTTTTTATTTTGAGGTTTCTCATGCTTTTCAGATGGGTCAACATTTTAAAACCTAAAATAATGCTTTAATAAAATTCAATCAGTAATTTCCAGCACCTGTGTAAACCCTAATCCATCAAGCAAAACATGTTTTAAGAACCTCATGATGCCATGAAAGAATTTTAATTAGATTTCTGTTCCATTAGCGTTCAAGCTAACATAATTAGATTATTTCTGAAGGGGAAGATTGCAGGATAATTAAACCTTTGTCGACTGAGGCAGGGTTCTTTATACTCTCTACCAGCTTCTTCTGAGAGGCCAGTCTTCGGTTTATTCGGCACTGGATCACAACCTGGAAGAAAGGACGAGCACAGCTTGTTTCCACTTTTACAAACTAACGAGTTCTTCCTGTTTTTAAATCTCAAGAGGAAAATCTGAGAGCTTTGTGAAGAACAAACCTGATCATCTAACAACCACTTTTAAACGTCAACAAGAACATCGCTTCCATCCAGCTAAACGATCTTGTATTTTCCTGCGTACCTTACGAGAGGCTTGCTGAAACCGCCTGAGGGCTCGTAGTCTCAGGTCTAGATTTAGAGTGGGGTAACACTGGAAGGACGGGGTTTCCTCTGGAACCTAGAAGAGGTTGGAAAACCTTTAATACATGGCAAACTGGTGAGAAGGATCTAAAAATAATTCACTGAATACAATTTTATTTCATTTTAAAAGTATAAAGGGACAAATTCTAGGATATAAATCTGCATTTATTTCCACAAAATAATTAGTAGCAAAGCCGTGTCTACTCTGATTCAAGAAACTTCAGCAGATTTCCTGTTTTTTCTGCTCAGGATGAGTCACCAAATACTCCTGAACAGCCTCAGTGAGTAGAAATAAAGTTCATGTCTACAAGAACTGATTAGCTAGTGGCTAGTTTGAACCACTCAAAACCAGGATGAGTAGATGTTGTTTTAAAACCGCTCAAATCTCCTAAATTTGGTTGGGGATGCTACTAAGTTACTCCATAGCCGTCGTTTTAGCTGGGGGTGCCGGGGACCTGTCCCCACCACTATTAACAATAGGAATTTCATTCCCACCACTTTTCAACAAGAAGTTTCTTAATAAAGAATGCATTCATCTGTGCTTGCTTAAAGAGCAAGTTACCCCCTACCAGAGTATTACTCCACTCCCACTTCATGTTTGACAAATGCAACAAATTATGTTGCCTGGCAGACCAAGAGGGCGGCGCCGCTAACAAATACACACACACACAGGCTCACAACAACATTGTGACATCATAATGTACGATCTAACGTCATTGTGTACTTCTTAGCCAATAGCGATGGCAGATTTAAATTCAAATGTAGTGCAGAGTTTCTACCTGACGACGGCACAACGCTGACAGTTTTAGGCAGAATATTTAAATTTGAACTAAAATACACTAAAATGCCAAATTATTGACTACACATGTCTACAGCACAAATAGACATTAATTTGTATAGTTCGTCAGCAAAAAATACTTGGTTTGGGGGTAACTTGCTCTTTAACAAGATTCGCTCTTCAGTACTGAAATTAATTCTTTTTAACCAACTCCATTACCTGTTTCAGTCATGGTGTCGCTAGTTCACTGTTCACTTAAAGACTATAGTCAGCTTTTCTTTCATACATGTAGGTCTATGTTTCATTTCATCAATGGTCATTTCACTTTGAATAATAATAAAGTATAATTAATTAATTTAGTTTCGAGGCGGCTGTTGCTAGCTGTGGTCGTAAGGTGGCCGGTGCCAGTCGTGGTGGCAACCCCCGTACCCGCTGGTGGACACCAGAGGTTCGGGGAGCCGTCAGGCTGAAGAAGGAGGCCTACAGGGCGTGGCTGGTCTGTGGGTCTCCGGAGGCAGCAGACAGGTACCGGATAGCCAAGCGGGGTGCAGCAGTGGCAGTTGCCGAGGCAAAATCTCGGGCGTGGGAGGAGTTTGGTGAGGCCATGGAGAAAGACTATCGATCGGCTCCAAAGAGGTTCTGGCAAACTGTCCGGCGCCTCAGGAGAGGAAGGCAGCAACTCGCTCACACTGTTTACAGTGGGCATGGGGAGCTGCTGACGTCAACTGAGGCTATAGTCGGACGGTGGAAGGAATACTTTGAGGAGCTCCTCAATCCCACCAATGCGCATTCCGAGGAGGAACCAGAGCTGGGAGGCCTGGGGATGGACTGTCCGATCTCGGGGGCAGAAGTTGCTGAGGTAGTCAAACAACTACACAGCGGCGGAGCCCCGGGGGCGGATGAGGTTCGTCCTGGGTATCTCAAGGCTATGGATGTTGTAGGGCTGTCATGGTTGACACGTCTCTACAACATTGCGTGGTCATCGGGGGCAGTTCCTAGGGAGTGGCAGACCGGGGTGGTGGTCCCCATCTTTAAGAAGGGTGACCTGAGGGTGTGTTCCAACTATAGGGGGATCACACTCCTCAGCCTCCCTGGAAAGGTCTACGCCAAGGTACTGGAGAGGAGGGTCCGATCGATAGTTGAATCTCAGATAGAGGAGGAGCAATGTGGTTTTCGTCCTGGCCGTGGAACTGTGGACCAGCTCTATACCCTTGCAAGGGTGATGGAGGGGGCATGGGAGTTTGCCCAACCAATCCACATGTGCTTTGTGGATTTGGAGAAGGCTTATGACCGTGTCCCCAGGGGCACCCTGTGGGGGACGCTCCAGGAGTATGGGGTGGGTGGCTTTCTGTTAAGGGCCATTCAGTCCCTTTACCAGAGGAGCGTGAGTTTGGTCCGCATAGCCGGTAGTAAGTCGGACCTGTTCCCAGTGAGGGTTGGACTCCACCAGGGCTGCCCTTTGTCACCGGTTCTGTTCATCACTTTTATGGACAGAATTTCTAGACGCAGCCGTGGTGTGGAGTGTGTCGAGTTTGGTGGCAGGAGAATCTCGTCTCTGCTTTTTGCGGATGATGTGGTCCTCCTAGCTTCATCCAGCTCTGACCTTCAGCTCTTGCTGGGTAGGTTCGCGGCCGAATGTGAAGCGGCTGGGATGAGGATCAGCACCTCCAAATCTGAGACCATGGTTCTCGACCGGAAAAGGGTGGCTTGCCACCTCCGGGTCGGGGGAGAGGTCCTACCTCAAGTGGAGGAGTTTAAGTATCTCGGGGTCTTGTTCACGAGTGAGGGTAGGAGGGATCGGGAGATCGACAGGCGGATTGGTTCGGCGTCTGCAGTGATGCGGACGCTGAGCCGATCTGTCATGGGGAAGAGGGAGCTGAGCCAGAAAGCCAGGCTCTCGATTTACCGGTCGATCTACGTCCCAATCCTCACCTATGGTCATGAGCTTTGGGTAATGACCGAAAGAACGAGATCGCGGATACAAGCGGCCGAAATGAGTTTCCTCCGTAGGGTGGCCGGGCTCAGCCTTAGAGATAGGGTGAGGAGCTCGGACATTCGGGAGGGACTCGGAGTAGAACCGCTGCTCCTCCGGATCGAAAGGAGCCAGTTGAGGTGGTTTGGGCATCTGGTCAGGATGCCTCCTGGACGCCTCCCCGGGGAGGTGTTTCGGGCATGTCCTGCCGGCAGAAGGCCCCCGGGTCGACCCAGGACACGTTGGAGAGGTTACATCTCCAATCTGGTCCGGGAACGCCTTGGGGTCCTGCCGGAGGAGCTGGTGGACAAGGCCGGGGAGAGGACGGTCTGGAGCTCCCTAACTGGGATGCTGCCCCCGCGACCCGGACCCGGATAAGCGGAGGAAGACGAAGACGAAGACGAATTTAGTTTAATTTTGAATATTTAGGAAAGAGCATGGCATGCTGGGAAATCTGTCCCTACCAACCGGGGATCAGCAGAGCTCAGAGGTATGGACTCGAGTCACATGACATGGACTCAAGTCAGACTCGAATCATTATTTTAATGACTTCTGGCTTGACTTGCTAAAATCTTTAAGACTTACGACTTAACTCGGACTTGAACGCCAATGACTTGCGACTTGAATCGACTTGAACCTGTTGACTTGATGATGACTTAAGCATATTTGATATTGGACTTGATTGTCTTTGACTTGGACTTGACACAAGACTTGACTGGAGAGACTTGTGACTTACTTGTGACTAGCAAAGCATTGACTTGGTCACACCTCTGGCAGACCTACATAGTAAACACTAGCTAGCGCTTTAGCTAGCCTATATTTTAGGGTAACATCAAACATGATAAAACTGGCTGCACTTACAGCACAGCTTTGTCGGATGTCTATTCCATTTTTTTCTCTCAGATGGTCTTACTTTGAGACAGCAAATATATATATATATATATATATATATATATATATATATATATATATATATATATATATATATTTTTTTTTTTTTTTTTTTATTAATGCGGCAGATCATGATGAGGGATTATGGAGTTAACCGAAACCTGAAGCTACGTATTATTTTATGAGTCTTCCAGCCACACTCACATTTATGTAAATCATCCCCACCTTTACACTGGTCTCAGTGACTCTTTTGCCCTCAAGTTCAAAAGCCCTTTTTCTCTTAATCGAGACTATTCGGGAAGCTTTCTACAATGGTTATGATAGTATTTATTTCCAACTTTCACACATGTCAAAACTCCCAAAACATTCCTTTAACGTAATCCAGATGCTGAACGTCTGAATCAAACCCTTCTTTCTCGTTTAAATAGCAGAATATATAGTAGATACACATTAATCTCTACATATCTATCTAGATATCTTAAGGACTTAAAAGATGAGATTAGCACCTGTCCTGCATTCAAACTCTCCTGAGTAGATGAAAGTTTTGTTTCTCCAGCAGCACAAACTTCTTCCTGTTTAAGAAAAAACACAATAAATCAACACAACTCAAAAAACATCAATAAAATTGATCATGTTTCTGTTTTTAGGTATATGTTATATTTGTGAAGCTAAGAATAACCTAATACAATGTTAAGCAATACAACATGATGCAATAAAATTATATTAGACATAATAATACTAATGGACTTTGATGCAACGTGATGTGATGCAGCGCAGTAATGATGCAATAAGATGCTGCGCGATGCAATATTACGGTGGTCCAGACAGTTCAATGCAAAAACTGAAAATGTGTTTATGAAAATATATTGGATAGTTGTACATTAGTGACATATTCTATTATTGTTGTAGAGTTGCTAATGCTAACAGTTAGCTTCTACTAGCAGAGACACGCTCTGCTCTCTCCTGGATGCTAAATCAACAACAGCCTTCCCAGTCTTGAGCCAAGCCACCATGTTTAACATCACAAAATGGCCTGATTTTGAGATCCCCCAGGTCAAGATCTACAGCCAGATCAACTTAACCTGGCTATGACACAACCTACAGTATTTTCCTCTCACAGGAGACTGGACGTCTACACGTAGTCCCTTTAAATCAGAGCCTGCTTCCTCACACCAGCTGGAATCAAAGGCTGACAGAGATAATAAAGGATAAACAATAGCATTCTCTCTCCTCCAAGGTCCTTTATAGAGAAACTCTTTTAAATGAACTCCTTTATTCCCAGAAGATATATAATTATTATTATATTAATTAATTATATGTGACAATGACATGTTCACTGATCTGTTTAATGATATATGCATGATATATGCTTAGCATGTTTACTGGATGAGGTCATCAACATTTGCACTCATACAAGACAGAGTAAGGTTAAGTTAACGCATGGCACATAGTTAACCTGTTGCCCAGATTCAGAGTGTCCAGATTGAAGAGGGTGTGTTCTGAGATGCTTGGTAACATCTCTCAAACTTGTCAGCCCCTGATTGGCTCGCCAAATCATAATATCGATTCCTTAACACACGATGGCTTTGAGTAATTTCTCAGTTCTAGAGCGAGCTTCAGACCGGCCATCTTTAGCACCTCTTTAACCAGCAAGGATTTTGGCAAGTCGTCAAAAATTTTTAAACCTTTTTCGCACCTGCAAAGCTGAGAAAGACAAGATAGTACCTGCAGTACCAAGCTGACGCAAACTCCTTCAGAGTTATTTTTAAGACGTTCGGTTTCATCTATCGTTGTGACCCAGAGACATCCCAGGACTGATATAGTCGCATCGAGGTTTCTCTACGAACCACGCGCAGTGGGGTTGTCGGCTCCTTGACCCATACGGGGGTCTCCAGAATGGGTGAGGTAGCACACAGTGAGATAGCGTCTGTATATGGTTTTGATAATAACAACTTCATAGCTTATTTGCAAACCAAATTCTTTTATGCCCAGAACTCAGCTCTCTGAGACACGGAGATTCTGACTCCATTACATTATATTTACACATAAGTTCCAGACACCATCCTTTTAGTTCGCATCCACTCACAGTAAATAATAGTTTAACCAATTTGTCAAGTTTAATTGTTTGTAAAATAAATTCTTAATTTTTATAAACCTGGCTGTTTCTTGAATCAAACGAAGTGTGTACGATCCCTTAATGAATAAAAGAATCCTAGAATCTTCTGACTAAAACAAATAAAGACCAGGCAAGGTGATATTCTATATTTAAATAGAGTATTACAGCTTATTGGTCACAAGTAGTGTTAATAATATAAATAGTTCTTAAAGCAATTTACTTAACCAAACATACTTTTTATCTAACATTACACATGCAAGAACTAATGGCACCTTAGCGTCAGCACAGTCGGGATTTGGTCGGGCTGGGTGATGTGAGTTTGGTCTCAAACAGGTGCTGTAGTGTTCAAATTGTAACGTGAGGAAATATGGGTTTTCTGTTACAAAATATAAATCCGAGGGACTTTTTGACCGATATCAGATATACTGATATTGTCTGACTCTTTATTTCTGATAACAACATAAACCGATACTGATACATGCTGTGTTAGGTTACTAACATCATATTTCTCCTAATATGCAAAAAAATAGGCCAATTCTGGTCTTAAGCGGTGTGGCTTGGCATGGAGCGGCGTGCTGATTCTGGGACGCATCCAAAAATGTCCACATTGTCAACCCAAAGACCATAAAGGATTCTTTATGAAGTAACAACGTTCTGCTGCTGTTCCGCCTCCAGTGTGAAGCTGGGGTAAGATGTGTGTATTAGTTAGAAATGATGTATTTTTTTCTTTTTCTGTATATTGCAGTTACTGGGATAAAACATTTAAAAATTATTCAGATAAGAAAAGCAAGCCATAGGTGAAGATTCTTGTTTTGGTGTTAGTTGTTTGCTAGCTGGCTACAGTGCATGCTGTGAGAATAGGGTAAGTTCACTAATAAGGGCAAATATCTACTTCACAAGTTGAGCTAAAAAAAACTCAAATATCTCAAAAACTTTACCTCTATTTTGTCATATTTGGACATTTTGAGAAAGAGGGAGAGGAGAAGCTGAAGAGTTTGATGTATGAGAATGGTTTACAAAAGTTGGCCCAATAAAAGACTGATATTTTCCGATATAACATTTTAATCCCAAACTCGGCTGATATTAATGGTAGACTAATAACATCAGACATCCCTATATGAAATGCAAGAAAAGTGAATTGACCTCTGAATAAAAAGTTGGAGAGGTTTATACGGGTGGGCCATTCATATGTGAGGGGGCAAACTTTTCAAGATGGGTGGTGAGTGACCATGGTGGCCATTTTGAAGTCGGCCATCTTAAATCCAACTTTTGTTTTTTTCAATAGGAAGCGAGTCATGTGACACATTTAACTTATTGGGAATTTCACGAGAAAAACAATGGTGTGCTTGGTGTCCTGTAGAGAATATGTTAGCATTAGCCAATTACATTCATTCATCTCTACCTTTTTGGTCAAAACTAACTAGTTAGTTTGTTTTATTTGTAAATTAAATATTTTCTTTGGAAACACGGATGCTAACAAGCCAATTCAGCTGCAGCCACATTTGAGTTTTTTATGATAAAACCTTGAGTCATAAAACTGTAAAACATGACTGAGCAGCCTTTTTAGGGGCTAACGTTGAACTGGGATTCCTAACTAAAGCTTTAGAAGACATTGATGGCTCATCCTGGCCATAAAACCCACACAAGAGTTCCCATAAATTATCAACATGTGGCGTTGTAAAACATGTGAGTGAGAAGATGAGAAACAAAGTTTTGTTAAGCTTCTGTGAGAGTTCTGTAAACTCATTCAGAGACCCATATTTCATAATTGGAGTTGTTTTTGGCGGAGTTTGCATTTTTTCCACAGAAACGCAATATAATCAATGACTTTGAAGGAAAAAAAGCAGAAGCTGTGTTTTTGGATGAGTGTGGACTCAGAAAAGAAACATGAGAAACTGGTTATTAGATTTGTATGACCTAAGGCGTAAACGATCTGTTGTATTCAATATAAAAAGAAAACAATTTCACTGCCATGCATCAGCGGCAGAAAACCAGAGAATTTGTTTCACAAAATAAAAATCAGTCAAGCACAGAAATAAGCATCAATAGGTTATGAAAAATTCAGATATATTAGTGTTTTTAAAGTCCAAAACCGAGAGGGAGTGAGATGGAGAAGCATTTAAAAAAGATATTAAGCTAGCTCTTTCTTAAATATGGAAATTTCTCTCAGGCGTTTTGTTGCACTCCACAAACTCTCACCAGTTTGGAAGTATATCCCAATCAATAAGACCAAGAACACGGATGAGTTATTAGATGTCTGAGGAGTTTAAGACTGGAACTAATTGCTATTTGTAACACTTTCACACAACGGCTTACCATGTTTTCCTTCTGATCCATCTCTCTTTCCTTCAATATCTGCTGCTGGGCTTCCTCAGTAATGGGATCAGAACCCAGATGGACTTGCCTGACAGCAAAATATAAGAATATACATACATTTATACCGGCCATACTCAGTCCCTGTAGCACTGATAAAGCCCTTCAGCAGAACCTGTCTGACAACATCAAGTAGGCTATGAGATCTCAAACGCAACAAATCGTGTCCTGTTTGAAAGAAAATATTTTGATTGCCAAGACTTCCAGGAAAATGTTCTGTGGACTGACGAGACAAAGGTGGAATTTTCTGGAAGGTGTGTGTCCTGTTTCTTCTGGAGTTAAACTAACATTTCAGATAAACATCAGACCAAAATTCGAGCATGGTAGTGGTGGTGAGATGGTCTGGAGCTGCTTTGACAATTTGCTGTAACTGAAAAAAACAGGAAGTTTGGAGGGAAAATGTCTGACCTTTGACCTTACACAGATAGTTTTGGCTTATTATGAAAAACAGGTGTTAGTCTTCTTTTTTAATCAGCAGAGGTTTTGGCTTAGGAAATCTGTCATGCTCCAATTTTTGCCTTCCCTAATCATGACATCTGTCTTTAAAGCTGTTATAGCAAAACAAGTCAGCTTAAAACGTTTTGTTCATGCCTCTTAACCTTCTAACATAATATATCTAAAAATATAATGTGGAGATGATGAAAAATATCAATAATAATAAAATGGTTCTCTCCATTTGTCTAAAACCTCGGTCAATAACATGGCTTGGATCAAAACCAATGATTGGACCATCCGGTTGTCTGTTTCACAGAACTGACACACTTCCCTGGGTCCTCCACCCATGATGTGTTCATGTATTTAGCACCAGAACACCGCTGTTGTGAGAAGTTCTCCGGTCAGTTATATTGGAGGAGAAACAGCCGGCTGCTACCACTTCAGCTTTAAGACAAACTACCAGAGTCCGAAAAAGAAAAACACCAATTGAAGTCATGGACAACAAAAGAAATTTGGACAGAAAAAACTGTGGCAGGTGTTTAGAACGATCTGGTTTCCTCTAGAAATTTGGGCGGTGGATGCAGAACCAGTGAAGATAACCGAAAGGAGGAGTGAGTGTTCCATGAACGTGTTTGCGTTCAAAACCTAGCTTGTTCTGTGGATTCACTGTAGCAGCTAACATTGAAATGTCTGATACTTCAACAATTACCAGAATGACGTTATCAATCCTCATTTTCATTAAAATCATGAACATGATTTTGTTTTTTGAATTAAATCTTTAAGATGTTCGTCTAATTTGTCCTTGTATTGAACAGCAACCTAACATTAACATCCTTGGAACTTGTTTCTACATTTGTATGTTTATATTTTCTTTTCTTTAATAGAACAGTGTCCAGTTCGAGAAAATGTTTTCATTATTTCAAGTTTCAATCTAGAGATGGTTCCTTTGCTTAGCTAAGAGTGAAGATATTACGCATGAAATAACTTCAATCTAAAAGAAAAAGCATTTTAGATAAATGTTTCAGATAAGATGTAATTATATAGAATTTTTACACAGAAACACACTTAAAAATGTCTGAGAGGTCATTTCAAACATTGGATAAACACCAAAGGATCAAATCAAGCAGGAGCTCAAAGGAAATGTCCTGTTTAGCTTAACTCTCTGAATGTGAGGTGATTGGCTTGTTCCTCCTTTTCAGTTTGTTGAACCTTTTTCAGAAAGAGAGCCTCTTTCATCTTCCCGCTTTCATTCCCAGGTGTACCGCCACACGGGGAGGCTTAAGGGAAGTCAGCATCAGAAAAAGAAGAGCAAGACACATTGTTTACAATTTATAAACAGAGTTCAAGGACACAGAAATAAAATGAAACCCACTTTTGCAGAGCCGTATGTACCTTGCTTTAGGTCTTTTAGAGTGAGTTTATTGATGTCTTTAATAAGCATCTTTGCCACCCCTGCAGGGGTGCAGACGTCCACTGAAGGTGGTAGTTTGTGGTTAGCATCATCGTGATCTCTCTGTGGAAAGAGAACAAGTAAAGAAATTAAGAATCAAAAGAATTACAGTTAAATTATCTTTTCTCTTTATTGTCACTTCAACCAGATCCAGCGGATTTGGTGAATAAACTAAAGAAAAAGCTGCACCATTTGACCAACCTTTAGTTTGTCTGACTCTTTGGTTGAACTGTTTTTGGCGTCACGTCGAGGAGGTAGTTTGGAGCCATGGGGAGGAACTTTGAGTTCTTTAGGTACCGCGCCTCTGTTCTCTTCCAGTTGTCTGCTTTCAAAACAACCGAAAATACTAAAATGTGGGACAAAAAAAATCCCTCCAGCCACCTAATACTTGCTTTACAAAAGGAAACTTGTAAAATGTTTCAACCTTCATAAATAAGGGATTTTTAAGAAGTTGCTCGAGAAGTTTATGCAGAAAAAATATGAATCTGCACCGTTTCTGTAGCTGGTGTTTGGAAGTGGACATTTTTGTCCTTGATGACTTAAGAGGGTAGTAAATTAAGCTGGTGTCTGAGGGTTTCCAAGCAACAGCATGACAAACAGTTCCTCAGCTCATCGAAGGCAATTTCATTGGTACGTCTGTTGATGTATGGGAAAAGGAACTGTTTATTTGTTTAAACGTGAAAAAATGTTCACTTTGCTATCACATCTTAGAGCAGGGTTACGCCACGGGCTGCCTATGAGCACCGCTGTGTTAGAGCATCTTTAGTTCACAAGCAATCAACTTTAGGCAAACCACACTTTTTAAGTTTCATTTGTAGATTGCACATCAAAGGAAAAGTTCCTGACCTTATAGATCAATGTACCTTTGAATAGTATGTTTGAGAAACTTTGGAATAAAATAATCCCAACAATGCTGTAAGGGGTAGATGATGCTTCCTGGATCATAGTAGGATTTATTCAACCGACATGGAGAGGGTGGGGGTGGCAGCAAGGCTGGACTATAAGGTCACGTATCACATAATTTTAGTGTCAGTCCCTTCTGGTTTATTACTGTCAAACTACACTCAATAAAATAACGTAATCAAATAACAGCCTCCCTAAACGTAGCTTTAAATCACCACTGTTCCAGACACAGCTCATCTGCGTCAACAACATGAAGATGTATTAGCTCTAGATTGGTTCTACTGATAGAAAACTACAATATTCAAGGCATTTACAGCAAACTACTGCAAACTGAGTCCCAAACAATACCAGAAACAAGCCTTTAGCAGTTCAGAAAAAAGTGTTTTCATTGTTTTGCATGCACATGCTGTAACTTATCTCTGATTTGGTTCCACTGTGGGGAACAACAGGGGTTTTATATGCAAAACATCCATTAGGAAGCATATCTATCTTGATATCACTGCAGCAGATATAAATTGTTTTTCTTTCTGTTTTTTTTTCATGAATTATTAACTTTGGGTGGAGATAACAACAGACAGCAGCAGAAGAAGAAGCTGCTGCTGGGTGATGGATAGCACCCTTATTCTCATGGAAGCAGAATTAAACATTAGGTTTTTATGCTCGCTGGAAACGAATAAATGAGTCAGCACACAAGGCCGTTTAGATGGAATCCAGTTGCATGTTTGGGCTCCAAAATGGTTTGGTTCAGAAAAGCTGAGAACTGTTTGGTGTTGCAGAAACGCTGCAGAGAACAAAGGTTTCACCGTTTCTTCTTATGGTAATGATGTCGACACGAATGCTGAATAAAAACAGGAACATTAAACGGTGTTCTGTGTGCTACCTGAGGGCTAAGTGAGGCGCCGAACTCCCGATGATGGTACACAGATACGGCTTAGTGTTGAACTGTGAAATGACCAGCTGGAAAGTGAACTGAGAAGTCTCATACTGCTGGGGGCTGAAGGTCACGGTGATCCTTGTTTCACCATTGGCCGGTATCACACCTGGAAGAACGAGACTACAGCTTACCTTTCCCGAAGGTCTAAGGGGATGATTGCAAGAAACAGCAAAACAAGAACTACTGTTTCAAATACTCTGACATTGGCAAAAAAAAAATAAATAAAAATAAGTGGCAAGTTGGATGAAATGAACATAAAAGATATGAGGTTTAAAATGGACCAAGAATTCATAAACTCTTGTTGTCTTGACTAAGGGCAACTTAAGGAGATTAGGAGGGGGAGTGTTGAAGTGTTTCGTTACGGCCTGTTTGGTTCGGTCCACTTGCGTACCATTGCTGTTTATTTTTTTCCATTAAATAAAAATTTTATTTGCGTGATTTAAGTGCAGCAAATAAAAGTTCCTAGACAAGTTTCCGCACGGACCCTGTACTGAGTGACGCACGATGGCTGCACGAGCCCGATCTCCATTTAAAAAATGTCATCTGCAAATTCTGATTAACGCCTTTCAGAGCGGATCAAACCAGCTGGCTGTCGCTGCTACTGTGGAGCCTGAATGGAGCGTCGCTTCGCCCCTCCCTCCCCTCACACAGTGAAGGCACGCAGCGGCAAATACGCAAACAAACATATCAGCTGAACTTTTCTGTTGTGAGAGTTGCTGTCAAGTTTCCATACAACGAAAAATACGGCGAGGAGGAAGCTTGTTATTTAATACGAGTTTTAAATCTGCAGAAATAAAAACACGGAGCATCAACAGTCAAACACAACACTTGACTGTGAAATAATCAAAGACATCATGCCAGATCAGCAGCCTGTGGTTCTGCTCACTATAGGAGCTGCTTCAGATATTAAATAAATATGATAACAATATGCCAAAAATTTATCAAACCAAGCCCTTCACAACGCTGAACCGAATTGAATATGATTTTAGCGTACCGTTACACTCCTAGAGATTAGTTATTTGCTGTACATCATCAGAGCTGTACCCTACTTGGACTTAATCAATTTCCCTCTGGGATTAATAAAGTATTTTTGAATTAAATTGACACACCCCTTCGAATTAACAAGTCCCCACCCACTTAATTGTAGGGAGCTTAAGTGTCCTCCCTTTCTGGTCCGCAGAAGAACGAAAAAATTAAAGCAAGTCAATGGGGCTAAAAGAGTTATTTTCTAATCCGCTTTTCCTTTAGGGTTGCAGGGATTAACCAGTTTGACTATTAACTACGGTGTGAAACGCTGTGGTTAACCCACCATAAAGACATCTCCAACGCCGCAAATAAAAAAAAAGTAATTACCTAAAGCAAAACTAAACAGCAACAACCACCGGGATCACTCCGTTTCCACCTAGGAAGATCTTGAAGTCTCCTGTGAGGGGATATTTTAGATTCCTAAAGCTTCTAGAGGACAAATTCAGGACAATGGCTCGTACATCTGCAAAGCCGGTGACGGTACCAGATCGGCTCGGGGTCCTGTTCCTGCCAATGACGACACACATCGGAAAATCCGGCTTTTACACTTACAATTTGGAAATAGTTTAGCAGTTTTGTTATACATTCTTGTGTCTTATAGCCTAGATTTTGACTTTATAACTGTATTGTGGTAATAAAACACCGTATTGTCTTCATTTTTTAAAGAATGTTAAACTACTTAAAACCAACATCAGAATGTCAAACAGCACAAAAGGTCTTAAATGTGATATTTTCTAAACTAATTTACATAATTAGCAGCCATTTCCATTTGTATAAATTAGGGATTCCTCTGTATATTTTTTTAAGTTCTTATTTAAATAAATTCATTAATTCATTAAAATGTTGCTTGCTATTTGTTCAACAAAGTTTTTTTATTTATTTTTTGCCCCATTTCATCAAAATTAGTTTGCTACAGCAATATGAACTTATTTTGTCCGAAAAGTGTTTGTTTTTGGACTACAGGACTAACACCGCAAGGACTACAACCGCAAATTTGTTCAGACCAATCAAAGTCTTCAGTGTCAACATGCTAACGTAACTTTTATGAACGTGGTATCATAAGTTTAGTAAGTCCTGCCTTCAGCCAATCATGTAGTGCATGTGTCAGACACAAGGCATTTTTATGTGGCCCGCGAGATAAATATCAAAAATATATTAAAACTCACTGGCCATTTTACAGCAAAGACTACAACTCCCATGATGCGTTGCGGCGTTATCGCAGAGCCGAAGCACCCCCTCCTTTGTGTTTTTTCCAGCGTCTGCTGCCGGTGTCTGCAGCTCCGCTGTCTCGGACAAACTAAACACTCCTTTCACTCAGCGCCAAGTTTACTCAGCTATTTTCCGACGTTGAAGCCCAGAAAAGGAGATTTTAACTGCTCAGTAATGTGTTCACGACTGAAAGAGAAAGTTTTTCAACTAACTTCCAGACAGAGCTGATATAACTCCAGCGAGCAGCGACACACTCAAACCAGCATGACTCTGTGCCTGCTGTAGTTGTTATTTTTCCTCCCCGACACAGAACAAAGTGGTCAAGCTGCTCAGACATGTTCAGCAGCACAAACCCATGTGAGCACCTGTTGTCATCTAATGATGTCATTATTATGATGAAGATGAACAAAACAACAGGAGTCTCCTCCTCAGCTCAGATCAACCCCATGATGCAGGTATCTGGCTGGAACAGGTGAGCATCACAGTAAACCAGTGGAGCAAACTGAGCTTTAAATATGTTGGTTTTATGCTCTTTTTCTGCTCCAAAGCATGAAAGTTAACAGGTGAGATGTTGCATTTTCATTTAAGATAAAATGATATTTTTATTTTGTTGTTGGCCCGTGAGAAAAGATTTAACCTACAGTAAACAGGAAGTGGAAAGGCTGCAGATAGATGAATAGAATAGAAAATCCCTTTATTGTTCCTCAGTGGGGAAAGCTAGACGTCCCAGCAGCGATGACACTTATTACAGGAGAAAAAAAGGAGAATAAAAAATAAGAAAAATGAATAATGAAGAAAACAAATCCTGAATAGATTTTAAAAATGCTGATTATACCACAAGTAATGAATACCACTGATGCGTTTCATTTAAAATTGACTTGCTCGTGTGTAATTTGGCTATTCCACATTCAGTGTTAATGCAAAAATAAGTTTGCTTCCAAATTAAAAGGTTCTAAATTGCCTATATGTTGATAAAGAAAATGTGCAAATTTGCTGTCACTTTTTCAAAAAATATTGATTTTGGCCCTCGACTTCATCCCAGATTTTCATTTCGGCCCCGTGTGAGTTTGAGTTTGACACCCCGATGTAGTGTGACGTCATCGACAGGCACAAGTCAACGAGCCGATCTGGAACCCCTAGCAGATCGGGTACCGACACCGGCAGAAAACAACTTGCAACACCTCAAACTTGTTATCATCTGTGACACATTCACGCTGACAAATGAGCTCTGAGTCAGATTACATTAGTGACTGAAGTGACTTAACAGTAATATTAAAATAATCAGTGAACGAGGGTTCATTTAGAAGTGTTATTCGACGCTTCATCTGATGCGCATTTGTAGTCCTGGACGTATTTTCACACAAAACCTAAAATAAGCATTTCTTGGCATCAAAATGTGTTTTTAAAACTTATGAACATCATATGTGAAATCCATGGCACAAAACAAATGGAAATAGAAAATAGCTTTTATTTATTGATTTATTGACTTGCATTAATATTTTTTGTTCTTCTGGGATGCATGTTCCAGAAGTAGATGTGCATGACTTAGGCTCCCTATATACATAATGCTAGCTTGAGCTAGTGCTAACATTAGCACGAGACTATATTATGGGTGTTATGACCCGGCTCGTGGGATCGCAACATAAGGAGGAGGTCTGGACACACGGTGTAAGTTATAGAGTATTGTTATTAGAAAACAGCCCCTGAATGGGCTCACCAAATGCCACACAGCCAGGAGCTATCAAGGTGACCTCTCTGATCAGTCTCATCCTTTTCTCTGCAGTTGCACGAAGCAGTCTTTTATGCTGCACCCGACCAAAGGAATTATAGGCTGCTTTGTTTCTCTCACTGGAGGGGGCTGTAAAAAAATGGGGTTGAATATGGCAATTTATCAGAGCTCCTGGGTCATTTTGAGCCCGAACAAAGTTCCAATTTTCCATCGTCAATATAAATTTTTCTAGAACCTTTTAAAGCAACAACATTTTATATGCTGACTGTTATAATGTATTGAGTTATTTGATTAAATGTCCTTCAGGTCTTGTTACTTTCCTGAACACTAAAGTTGAACTAGCTCGCCTGTATCTTTTTTTTTTTCCTTTTCTTTGTGAAACGAGGAAGGGCTTAATGTCATTTCCGAAATAAGAAACTCATTTATTTCCCCTCTCCTCAGTCCAGGAGTTCAGCCAGCGATAATCCAGATCCCAAGTGCTTTTTCTGCCATCTGTTGTGATGCAGGCCAGAGCTTCTTCCTTACACTGCAGTGAAAAAGTGGGTGTCCCCTTGCAGATTTTTTCAACTCTTCTGGTCCCACTTGAACGTTTTAGATCAATAAACAAATTTCACTATCAAAGATAACTTGATTAATTAAAATGTCATGTAAAGGTGTTTTCAATTGTTTTGTTAATTACAGGAAATTAGCTAATTGTGAAAGGTGTTTCCTTTTAGGACAGCAGATGTTTTAGGCTTGGAAAAGTCCCACAATGCCTTGTTTGCCCTCTATTTCATGACCATTAACCAAGTGAGTTCTGCACGTGGTTCTGGGTTGGTTTGATCTTTTAGCCTCCCTGATGTTTTTCCACAAAGGTCCAATTGGTTTGGACTGTTTTTTTTCTTGATATGTGAAAACTGCTTTTAAGATCTACTCAGGGTATTTGATTTCTGAATCAGAAATTAGTTTGATGATCTGAAACACTGAAGTGTTACAAAGACAAAATAAATGCGTAAGGGGTTGACTACATTTTCATTGGTTGTTTCCTTCATAAAAATCTGCAGCAAAGTTTGGTTTATTTTAGGCAAAAGTATCAAAAATACTCATGTTCATTACTCAGGTAGAGGTATAGGGAGCCTAAGTCACGCATATCTACTTCTGGACCACGGTTCCCCGGAAGAACAAAACTATGAATGCAAGACGATGGGGCTAAAAACGCTATTTTCTTATTCCGCTTGTTTTGTGCCATGGATTTCAAATATGATGTCCTTGAATTTTAAAGAAGCTTTTTGATACCAAGAATGCGCTTATTTTCGAATGGGAGGAAACACTATTTTAGGTTTTGTATGAAAATAAGTCCAAGACTACAAATGTGCTTCATGAAAGTGACGTCATCAAACCAGACATGGAGAAAACTGAGGGAAAAGGGCTGTAAGTTCAGCAAACGTCCCACAGGAGGAAAGAACCATCATAAATCATTCTTTTTTTTTTGTTCTTCCAGGCACCCATGAGCCGACTGGAAAGAGGAGACTTAGGCTCCCTATAGACTCTAGGGTTTAAAGAGACTTTTGTAGAAGCAGAAGTATCAATTCAAGCTTTGTACTTGAGTAAAAGTGAACAAGTGCTGGTTCCAAAACTATGTAAGTTGAAAATGCTACACCTCCCCAAATAAACATTTTCTCTGATAGGCAAAATTACTAGCCTGGCCTGCCAGACTCGTCCTCTGTTTACTTCTACACAGAGAACTATGTGGTTACTCACAGGCAGCGAGGCACATGAGGGTCGGGACTAGCCAGCTTAAAAATCACCTGTCAGAAATAAGACGGATATGCAGACTGTACCTCGCGACAATTTAGTTTTTTAGTTTGGTTAGAACTCTCAGGGGGTGGGGCTATTTAAATAGGAGAGTTCCCAGACCCCACGCTTCCCATAAAGAAGTGTGGGGTCTGGCTGGTCAGGCTACAAAATGACTATATTGTTATACAGAAATGTTAATGTTGACAAATTTGTTATACTAGCTGTTTTAGCTGCATAAACGCCCATTGAAAATTTTTGTGCAATGCTAATTTATTAAATACAAATATTTTCCAATAAATCTGCTGCAGTCTCTTAGCGTGGAAATCTAGAGCGCCAGTGGCTGAAGCAAAATGATTTTGCTCTACATGTTGGTCTAACCACGCTCCACTGGAACCTCAGCAACCCAGCCAATCCGGTGGATGGCCAATCAGTCCTCCATCAGTTTAGTGAGCGGGATGTTACTGCGACTGAGAGGAAGATGGGGTGGCTTGTTTGATGTGGCTTTGGCATCAACTTTGGACTATTCAGACTTGGGCTGTTCTTTGAGTCAAGCACACATAGAGGTACTTAAAGCTTCTTTCCGGAGCATTTCTCTTATCTGATGGCACCATCTAGTGGCTGACAAGCGTATCACACAAAAAGTCTATTCTGTTTAAGATGGCGACTTCATGTTTCTGTTTATAAATGTGCTTTTGTAGCCGACAAACAGCTAAAACACGTTGTTTTACGAGTATTATTCTCATGTCATGTTGTGTTTTCATGTATTTATATTTTAGAGACTTTCATGTCCGTGAAAAGTTCATCAACTCTGCATCAACAGAGGTTTTCCTTAAATTTGAAGCAAATAAGCGGAAGTCTAATGCTATTGCCTCTGTCAGTGCGCCCCAGGGCAGCTGTGGCTACATTGTAGCTCATCACCATCAGTGTGTGAATGTGTGTGTGAATGGATGAATGATACACTGTAGTGTAAAGCGCTTTGGAGTCCTTACTCTGAGAGGCGCTATACAAGTGCGGGTCATTTATCATTCATTTATTGTTAGTTCTGGTCGGCGCTCAGTTCCCTATTGAATGGAGCTCTGCGGGGCAGGGGGCGTGCTTAGCAAAAAAAAAAAAGACATTGCTTACATTTAATCACAGTACATGATGAGATAATCACTTTTATGGATTTCAGACAAATCATACATAATTTCTGAAAGGGGAAAACTCCGGAAAGATACTTTAACTCGTTCACTGCCAGCCATTTCCCGATCAGAAATCTGCCAGCGTTTTTACAGTTTTTTGAAGTCAGAATATTGTGCTATATGATGATGTAAACGCCAAAACTACTAAAAGAAAGAGCAGACTCCGTTCTTACATCAGGAAGAATAATCGTGATTCTAGCGTTATCCGTTCTTTCACAATCCTCTGTCAAACTGTGAGCTGCAGAAGCTTTTCTGGTTCACACCTCGCTTTTTTCACAGTAGCGGCCAGAAACGATCTCCTGATTCATGGATTTTCTGCTTCCTGATTACGTGACGTGTGACATACGTGGATGAAGATCAGCTTTAAAGACGTGATGTTCATAGGGAGCCTAAGTCACGCCCACCTACTTCCGGACCACAGGTCCCCAGAAGAATGAAAAAAATGATTGCAAATAAACGGGGCTAAAAACTCTATTTTCTAATTCCGCTTGTCTTGCGCCATGGAGTTCACATATGATGTCCGTGAATTTTAAATACGTAATTTGATACCAAGAACGCGCCTATTTTCGAACTGGGGGAAAACGTTAGTTTAGGTTTTGTGTGAAAAGTCCAGGACTACAAATGTGCTTCACGAAAGTGACGTCATCGAACCAGACACGGAGAAAACTGAGGGGAAATGGCTGTAAGTTCAGCAAACTTAAATTCCTTCCTTCAGGAGGAAAGAACCCACCATGAATCTGTCCATGTGGTAAGTAGCAGCTACGTTAGAGGAGAAGAGATTCTGTGGTGACGTCATATATGAGACCTGCTGATGTCTTATTTGTAGTCATGCTAATTACAAACTTTTACAAGCTGATAAATCTCAAAGTACGTGACAGGTGTGGTCTAAACACCCATCAATAGTTTTCATTTAAATTGCAGTACAACATCCAGGGTCTATGGCAAAGCGGATTAGAATATAGCGTTTTTAGCCCCGTCGACTTGCATCAATTTTTTCGTTCTTCTCGGGACTCATGAGCCGACCGGAAAGGGAGGAGACTAACCCCAAAATTCCACTACCTCCGCTCCGTCCCCGCCTTCCGCAGCCGCTCGCTTCCGGACTCAATTTTTACTGGTACCCGCTCTACAACGGCTCCGCTCCGGTGCGGAGACCTGAGGTGCGCAAACAAGCATGCGCGGGATTTTCGAGATCTTGCGATACAGTCCGAGCAATAAACGCGGAAGTTATATCCAAACACCCGTTGTGTGGGAGAAGCATCGAAATGAACTGTTTAATCTGCCCATCATTTGTGTTGAGAGATCAGCAGTGTTTGGATCAACAAAGTGTGACTACTTTGATAGTGGAAACTGTATTTATGGCTTATTTTTGTGCATTTAAAGTTCAGCCGCCACTGATAGTTGTTAAAAGTTGTTAAACCTGTGCATATGAAACAAAAAACGCTTTTGTTATCGATTTATTGTGAAATAACGGAAGTTGTGCTTGCTCCCTTTCCTGTTGGGCGGTTGTGATTTCTGTCCATTGACTGCGGAGGTGCTCCGGCGTCCGGCAAAAATAGAATCGATCCTGTTTTTGCCGGATGGCGGAACGGCGGGCGGCGCACTGCGCCGCACGGCCGCAGTAGTGGAATTGCTCTGACTACAACGGGACCGATTTTGCTGCAGAGTTCGTGCTGGAGCGGAGCGGCGGTAGTGGAATTTTGGGGTTAGGCTCCCCATTCTCACGGTACTGGGGCTTGACGCCCGCCCCGTACAAAAATGCAGTTGACAACTTTAGTCAAACAGAGACTGTGGTAGAGTCGCATTGCTGTTAGCCAATCAGAGGATAGTTGTCCAAATATCAGGAAATAAAATTAAAAATCCTGCTGTCTTCTTCTCACCTCTACTTTGGCTCACTTCTAGTTCCTGAAACAGGAGCACGACTTTTTTTCTTCACAGAGATCCACTCACAAGGCATAGAAACCACTGCAAATGAACTAGTGAACTTGGTCTTTAAAGAACCACGTGTCTATGGTACGTCTTTGGGTTTTTTAAATAAAGACAAGATTAAATGAAATAGGAGAAACGATACTTCGATTCAGGGCTACGCAGTGACGCAGTGCTTAGAGCTGTTGCCTTGCAGCGAGAAGGTCCTGGGTTCGATTCCCGGCCTGGGATCTTTTCTGCATGGATTGCATGTTCTCCCTGTCCATGTGTGGGTTCTCTCTGGGTACTCTGGCTTCCTCCCACAGTCCAAAAACCTGACTGTTGGGTTGATTGGTCTGTCTAAATTGTCCTTAGGTGTGAGTGTGTGTGCATGGTTGTTTGTCCTGTGTGTCTCTGTGTTGCCCTGCGATGGACTGGCTCTCTGTCCAGGGTGTACCCCACCTACTTGCCCGTTGACTGCAGGAGATAGGTGGGTTCGGAAGATGGATGGATACTTAGATTCAGTGAAGTAAATATTCCCCAAATTAAAGTATATGTACATTGTTAGTTGACAACTTTGATTTCAGTAACAAAGAAGTGATTTTATGAGTCCTTACCTGTGAGCGGTTGGACAGAGAAGGCCTCATGCTGCTGAATAACAAACACCTGGAACTCAAAGTCAACTGGACAGCTGCATCTCAGAGGAATAGCGTGACAGACGCTAAAAAACAGAGAGAGTTTTTCTCTACGATTTGTCACTGAACGGGTGAATGGAAGAGACACTGGTTTTAATGAAGAATACAAAGATACAGGAGAGACCGTGGGCAGGTAAAGGTTTAGAAAACTCCCACACACACACACCTCTGTCCAAGTGGTACGGCCTGTAGGTCAACACAAGGAGGGATGTGCAGGTCATCGATGACGGGGTAGGCATGAACTGGAATTACCAGGTTCTCTTTGTCCTTAGGAGGATTGTAGGTGGGTTGGATGGACAGAACGGGGGGACAGAAACAGACAGGAAAGGTCTCGAGGTAAAAACAGGAACGTGTTCAACTTTATTAGTGATGAGAAGCAGAAAAAACACTTTGATGCACCTTGAAGCGAACGTGAACACAGTCGTAGAAGTAGCGCCACTCGTCTGGACAGAACTCCACCTTCAGGGTGTAGGCGAGGCCCGGGAGGAGTTGACACTTTACAGGCAGAGACGGAATGGTGAGGCCCAGCGCTGATTGCATTTAGAGACGAGTGGGACTTCAGATCTAAGCAAATACCTTTTTGGTGTAAGTTGTCTGGAAGTAAGTCGTCTGGGTTGGAATGACATGAATATTCATAACTTTAGCTGAGATGTTGATCAGTTTCTGTTGTAGAAAAACATGAAAAAAGTGTCTTTCATCAAATCCGTCATCTTCAGACAGTCGTCTCCACATCACTGATGCTTCTACACACACACGCAAAATCAGCCTCCATTCAAAGAAAACTCATTTAACCGAGGTGAAACTAATGTGACATGAACGTGATTCTAATCATCTGTAAATGTGGTTCAGCAAACACAAATATCACCTGTCAACATCAAGGTCGTTAGCTAAAAATATGAGTTTAATTTATTTAATGAATAATTATTCTTCAATTCATTCTGAACTCTCGTGCTTTTAATTAATTTGAATAAATACTCAGATTTAACACAATAATTAAATACATTAATTTAAATAGACATTAATCACAATAAAACGACAAGATAAATTAACAAAAATGTTTTAGTTTCTTTTTTATCTTTTATTTATTTATTCTGATAAATTAGCTATATTGCTCCTCTAAATCTGAGACCACGGTCTTGATTCGGAAAAGGGTAGAATGCCTTCTCCGGGTCAGGGATGAGGTCCTGCCCCAAGTGGAGGAGTTTAAGTATCTCGGGGTCTTGTTCACGAGTGAGGGAAAACTGGAGCGTGACATCGATAGGCGGATTGGTGCTGCATCTGCAGTGATGCGGCCGTTGTACCGGTCTGTCGTGGTGAAGAGAGAGCTGAGTCAGAAGGCAAAGCTCTCGATTTACAGGTCGATCTACGTTCCTACCCTCACCCATGGTCATGAGCTTTGGGTAGTGACCGAAAGAACGAGATTGCGGATACAAGCAGCCAAAATGAGTTTTCTCCGAAGAGTGGCTGGGCTCTCCCTTAGAGATAGGGAGAGAAGCTCGGTCATCCGGTAGGGGCTCGGAGTAGACCCGCTGCTCCTCCACATTGAGAGGAGCCAGTTGAGGTGGCTCGGGCATCTGGTCAGGATGCCTCCTGGACGCCTCCCTGGTGAGATTTTCCGGGCACGTCCAACCGGGAGGAGACCTAAAGGTAGACCCAGGACACGATGGAGGGACTATGTCTCTCACCTGGCCAGGGAATGCCTTGGTATTCCCCGGAGGAGCTGGCCCAAGTGGCTGGGGAGAGGGAAGTCTGGGCCTCTCGACTTAGGCTACTGCCCCCACGACCCGACTCCAGATAAGTGGAAGAAATGGATGGATGGATGGATGGACGGATGGATAGATAGCTAAAATAAATTAAATTGCTTGAATTTAAATATTTCTTACTAAAATGATTAAGTAAAAGTCAAGTAAAAATGTTTGTAGCATTGTTAATTGTCTGCATCCAGTTTGAATCCTCTGAGCTCTCGTGATTCAGAAAACTCCCGATGTTGACTCTCGTTTAACTCCTGTTATGGTCGGACGTTCTTTTTTACTTCCATCAGATAAATGTTTTCTTTGTTTCTCCTAAGGGTCCGGCTATTAAAAACTAAAATGTTAAACGGTATAGTTCATCAGTTCTCAAATTCAAACACGGATTGCCATAAAGTGTGACTGCTTCTTGTGAGACGTGTGACTTCGCGAGACTTCAGGGCGGCGGATTCTGAAGGTGCAAACACAATATTTGGCTCACAAGGGGCGGTGAGGGCTGAGAGAGTATTCATTCATCATGAAAAGGGTCATTGTAGCTCATACTGGCTCAAGAAAATGATGTAAAATAATGAAAAATTACTTAGTGTGCCTTGAAAAATAAATATGTGTGAATAAATAAACAGAATAATGTGAGAATAATTGTAAGGCAACATGTTTTAGCTCTTTTGCGAGTGTATGTCCACGAATGGAGTCGTAATCACGAAAGTAAAGGAAGGAACTTCAGGTGTGATACATTTTTCCCACCTCTAGAAGGTGCCATCTGAGAGAAAAAAGACCTCCAGATTTCTGCATTAAATTTCATCTTGGTTCATTTCATCAATATTATGATCTCTCCCCTGTTGCAACACACACTATGCGTAGGCCATCACTGAACCAGGCTCGTGAAAAAAAATTTAAAACATCCGCCACCATCGTCAGCCAGCCCACACATAGGGAGAAATGAAACACAAACGAGCCATCCGAGAGCCCCGCCCCTTTTAGGGCACTTTCCGATTGTGACAATAATATATAAAATGTATGTAATGGAGGTACATCCTACAATACTATGTGGTGGCTTTTGTGCTGGTATACTTTCAGTAGTCTTACATATTTTACTAACAAAATATATATTCTTTTTTATATACATTACTCCTATCAAAAGTTTTTAGTGGTCCAAATTAATAACCACAATGGATTAACTGTTTTCCTATTTATAAGGAAAAACCTCACCAGGATCTTTACGGAACTTTTCCCAAGTTGGAACCCACTGAAGTGAAGTTCTGAAGGTTCTGCTTGGATCGGGGTGGAATCGATTTCTATAAGGAGGAGGAAAACACATGATACAATGAATTAAAAGATGACTGACTTTATTCAGCTAAACTAAAATTCAGAGTCAGGTTGGGTTTCAGAAACAGCAGCTGTACTTGAGTCTGGAGTGATGGTCCTGCCCCGGCTCTCCTCCAGCAGCGGTCTCAGGGGCACAGCGGCCCCCCTCCTCCTGAGGGGCTGCCAAGGGGTCTGAGAGCCAGACGGGACAGCTTCCATCCGGGCAAAAGGTCAGCTCTGGCTCCTCCTGAGACAAAGGACAAAAGGCTGGAGGAGAAGCACGGAGAAGTGCGTGTGTGCGTGTGCGTGTGCGTGTGTGTGGTTTCAATGCTAATGTTGTTTAACATGTAATAATCCTCTCAGTTAGCAAAAAGACCACTAGGTTTTAGCTTATTTCACTCGTGTTAATTAGATTAAAAGGTTCGTAAACAAAACCCTAATTTATGTTCGTTTACAAACAAAATGGCTACTTTTGTGTCTATAAACACAACTTTCAAATGTTGCAAAACTTATGCTACGGGAAGATTTACGGTTTAAAAACAAGTCGTTCTCTCTGTTAGATAAGACTCACCACACCAAGCGCCGGCGTTGCCATAGCGACGGTGAGGTAGGGGGCGGGATGGAGCATAGGGCGCGTGCAAACCGGAAACCGGTTTGTTTGTATTCAAAATAAGAGCATAAACACGTATGGCGCATACTGTTCTAATTTTTTGTCCAAATTAATACTAAAAACATTATATATAACAAGTTAAACATTCATTTAAATTAGTAATGACTTCAAAATTTAGTTAAAAAAACAGCCATATTAAACTGTGCAAAAAGCGTGCGTTTTATTTTGAAGGCTTGTTGAGTTGTTAAATTGTAAGAAGGTTTTTCAGAAGATAGTGCGATTATAAAAACTCCAAGTAGGTTCAGTCAGTGTTAATTTCCTGGGGTCACATGTCTGTTAAACGACAGGGTGCTGCTTTTTCACTCCCACCAGCCTGGAGTTTAGACCTAGATGCAGGTCGCGAGGGAGGAAAGGGAGCCAGTCCAGCACGATGAAGAAGGTTGGACTCTTAGGGGTGTTGCTGTTACCCCAGGTGAGTGTAGTTTTTTTTTAAAGTTTCTATTTTTCTTAAATTGAAAGGCAGGCCTAAACGACTCAATACCGATTGACGACACACACACACACACACACACACACACACACACACACACACACACACACATGCACATATATATATATATATATATATATATATATATATATATATATATATATATATATATATATATATATATATATATATAATTTATGCATTTATTTTGCAGGGAAAATCATCATCAGGTTGTCATCCTCACGTAAGTTTGGTAAGAGAGGAAGAAAAGTGCTTAAAAGATCTTCTCAAGTCACACAAAGTTATAGGTGAGCCAATTAAATTTTTCATTTTTTTATTTTTACTACATCGTAAAATTAAAGATTATGAAATGTTTTCATTAGAGGATTTTATTGTGCCTTTATTGCATATTTTATTACCAAAAACATTTAAATCTGTGAACTGGGCATTTAATCCCAAACTGTGTTCTTTACTGACATCTAGTGGTCATACATTGAAATCCAGTCCTACATCCAGAGGAAGTCAAGTGTGAAATATAACGATTAAGAGATGGTTATACTTTTATTTATTACCTGCATTAAAATAATAAAAATAGTGATGTTTTCTCCTATTATTAAGTTTTATTTATCCTGTACAGTTTTTCTAACTTTTGTAAAAACCCTAACCCAGCACAACACATCATCCTTTCTGCTTGATCTTTTAAGATAACATCAGTCTAAACTGCAATGGTATGTGGGATGACTTGAACTGTTGGCCGCCTGCTTCTCTTGGAGAAACTGTCTCACAACCATGCCCAGATTTTTTTAATTCAGCAGGTGAGACAGTATGGTGCACAGTGACAAATCGGAACTTTTTTTTTTTTTTGCTGGTTAATTATTTACTATGGGAACTCATTTATTTTAATAAGAATCAAAGACATCTTTATTTTCTGAAAATCTCTATCCACACAGACCTTTATAGCTTACAATTGTACTGTAAAATAAGGATTGTGTAATAAAGTGTATGAAATGAAGAGCTGAATGTGTATTAAAGACTCTAAAGTAGTATATTATCACTGTGTTTCCTATACGATAGGTCCTAGTACCTTAGACCTCTTGTTAGTCTTTATTTTCTACAATAAATTTCAGTTGTGGTCATTTTTTAGACTAAAGTCAAATAGGGACCAATGATTTAATTGGTGCTTTGCAGGTAAGGTGCATCGTAACTGCACCACTGATGGATGGACAGACCTTCTTGTCCCTCATGAGGATGCTTGTGGCTACACTTTCAATGAGTCGCTGCACTTTCTTGCAGAGGTTGGTGGATGCTTATGTCCAGTGAAGGTTGTTTATGTTACTCAGATTTGGAGATCTATCCTGGGTAGGGATGGGCGATAAGTCAAAAATGCATCTTTATCGAAATTTGTGACTCTTATCGAGATCATTTTCCCCTCGTCAATAATTTTGATAAAAAATTGAAGATGTGTCTAGGATGGCAACGTTCATGTCCCTTTAAGAAGCTGTACCACCTTGAGTCACATAAAAATGTGACTCAACGTAATGCATGTGACAGCCCCAACTAGTGGACAACTTTTGTTTCTGCGCACACCTGTACTTATCGTCCATTTATCGTTATCGAGGTGAAATCCTCAATATATCGTGACATTGATTTTAGGCCATATCGCCCAGCCCTAATCTAGGGTGTACCCCATTATCACCCAATGTCTGGGAATAGGTACCAAATACCTGGGTGGTACACCGCATAGTTAGCATGCTAGCGTCTTGTTTTTTTTTTTTATCGAGTTTAACCACACAATTGGCTCCACCTATTAAAAACATTCAGTCAGTTCTAAGGTTTCCCATGTTGAGCCCCTATTGGTGCTCTTTTGTGAAGACACTTACCCGGAATTTATCGACCTTCCCAGATGTTGACACGCCACATTGTGTGTCATCTAACGCCTGACTCATGCTTCTCCGTCTGCGTCAGGGCGGAGACACGCAACGTCCTTGCGGGCCTGCCGGAGAGCTCCGCAAGGACGGACGGAGTCGAGCTCTCTTTTCTAAACATCCGTCAGTCGAGACGGACAACGCAAGCTTGTGATTGGTCAGGACGCCGCTGTTGTCTATATCGCCGCCATTGCGTCCTCAAAAACATAAAGAGAGCCGAGGATAACAAGCGGCAGACATGGAGAAGCTTGAAGAATACCTTGCGAAAAACTCTAAAAACATGAACGTTTAGTTCCCCCGTGACTGGAGGAGTGAAAAGATGCGCAGAGAGCGTTTTATTTGTGGACGGAACTGACAGGAAACGTGGGTTTAGAGGTGGCGAGTGCATGAAGAGGTGGAGGAGAATGAGAGACAAATATGTCCGTGTTAAAAAGTCTCTTACATACAAAAAAACATAATATAAACACACTATCTTGGACCGATACATGACAGGATACCACAGAACAGCGCTACACCCTCTGTTGTCCTGCCAAGGAATTGCTTTGCAACGCTCTCCAGGAGACGAAGTATGAGAGCAAAACGCTTCCGTCAATCCGTGCGTGTCTGTCCCTTGCGGAGCTGACGGAGAAGCATGAACCAGGCTTAAGGAGGTATCTCATTGTCTTTTAACCCCCAACACTTCCGTATTATTGAAAACACTCAAGATAAATGAATTCGTTTTTTCTGACTTGCACTGGTCCAAGAATTTTACCTTTAACAAAACAATCCTTGTTGGTCCGATCATCAGTGGCGTGTCCAGATCTTTTAAAATGGGGTGGCCCAGGTGAGGCACAACTTTGTGCATGGGTGGCACCAATGGTTATGCTTTTTTTGTTTTACCCCCAAGCCTTTTGTGGACAATCAAAAGCCTATTTAAAGGTAAATTAGTGTGGTGGCACCTGGGGTGGCCAATCAGATTCCGAGGGTGGCATGTGCTACCCCAGGCCACTCCCTGGACACGCCCTTGCCGATCATAGCTCATTTCCATTGACCGTTTTTTGCACGGATTGGGAAGGAGCGGATCACAAATTTTTCTGTTCCGATTGGGGGCGCTCCAGTCATGGGACGTTTTTTGTCCCCCTTCTGTTTTAGGTCCAGAAATTTCCAGAGCACTATGGTTATGGTGGAGCAACAACACAGTCTGATTGCTTGTCAGAAATACGTGACTACATGCAACAAGCTAATCAAACGGTGTCCGTTGTTCGTGTTTTCATTAGTTGTACATGAATGTGAAAAAATGCTAGCAAGTAGCAGCAACTTGTGGTCATCTTCAGGGTTCCACACGTTCGACATAGTGAGAGTCCACACTCAGGAGGAGCTAGACGGATCCGTAAGGACGTTTTTATTCCTCAGCGGATCATAACCGATGGAACCAAGCAGCTGTCGGAACGCTGTCGGGGCAAAGCTGAGGAAATTAAAGCCCAGTGTAGGACAGAAACATCCGGAGGGATTTTGTTAAATGCTAAAGAAACATTTCACCTGCTTCTGTTGTTAACGGCTTTATGTATTTTCCATTCTTCAGCCCTCAGACTCTCATTTGTACTTCTCCTACGTGAAAACCATGTACACAGCTGGATACACACTCTCCCTCATCTCTCTCAGCATCGCCATCATGGTTTTCTCCCTGTTCAGGTGAGGAACCTTGGTTCTTTTGTCCCTCCGTCTAACACAGAGCGTGTTCTCATGCCCCGCCTCACATTCAAATGGTTTGCACATCAGCTCAAACACTGTGCGTAAAGCTGAGTTCACGTTTCCTTAAAGGAAGCTCCACTGTACCAGGAACCACATCCACGTTCAGCTCTTTATCTCCTTCATCCTGAGAGCCATCTTCATCTTCATCAGGGACACTCTACTATTTACCAACGAGGAGCTCTATCACTGTGACTACTACCCGGTACGGTCACAGTTCAGTGTTTTCTTGACCCGATGTTGTTCTTGGGCCCATTTAGCCTAACTTTTCCTCTCTCCTGCAACGCTCCGCTAAGGTGGCGTGTAAGATTGTGCTGATGTTTTCCAACTACTCCATCCTTGCCAACTACAGTTGGCTGCTGGTGGAAGGTCACTTCCTGTTCACCCTGGTGAGCCTCTCCTTCTTCTCCCTGAAGAAACACCTCGCCTGGTACATCCTCCTCAGCTGGGGTATTGCATCATTGTAATCTCATTTATCTTTGACCTAAGCTCGACGAATAACCGTGTTTCTGTTTTCAACCGCTTTTTATTGCAGGTTTACCCCTCATTGTAATAATCTCCTGGGGATGTGCTAAGTACCTTTATGAAGATGAAGGGTAAGGAGCTGCAAGACTTTCTTGCAATCTTTTAACGTGGTCTTTTTGTGGTTTGTTGTTATGGACACCTTATTGGAGCTAAAGTAATTTTTTATGTGTCAAGCTGGTATTTGTTTTTGTAGATTCAACGGAAGAAATGTCTTTAGTGCAGGGGCCTCGTTTATTAACCGTGCTCATGCACAGATCTGTGCGTATTTCTTGCGTAGGAACAAATTTACGCATTTTGTGGTATTTATCATTTTGTACTCGTGCGTGGGAACGTTCCTAAATATAAGGAAACCTCAGACCGTGCGTACGAACAGCATCTAGTGGTAGAAAAAGGGAACCGCAAGAATCTGACATCGTAGAATGAATTCCATGTTTGTTTTTTTTTGCAATCACAATTTGTCCTTGTTTTTTTATTAATTTACATATTTTTAATTTAATTGTTTTTGGTTTTTGTCCTTGTGAAGAGTCTTGTGACTTTGCTTGAGATGATAAAAGATCGCTATGCTGGGATTTGTGACCATTTATGGAGTGACAGACAAACTGCCCGAATCTGATTCCTGTCCATATTCTATTTTACATCTATGAGAACCCGCCATAAACTCCTCTGCTCCCCGATCATACGCGCATTGTTTAGGTAACCAGACTGAATGACACCTGCGAAGAGACTGCACTAAACTAACTCCAAGCAGAACTGTTCCTTAAATGTAAAACGTAAAGGACAACTCGTTACTCTACAATTTAACATATTCTTTTTATTGATTTCTGACAGAAGCCTCTCTTCTATCCCAACCGCGCTCATAACCTCTTCGACTTGTTTGGTTCTTTTGCACTTCAGCAGCTAGTGTCCCGATCTCGCAACAAAAGTTTCATTTTATTTTTTCCAGGTAGAACGCAGGGAATCCACTCACGTGCTGTGGAAGGGGTGTGACCAAATATGGTTAATTGAGGGAGTTTCTGTATGTAAATGACTGAGAACGGACACGAGCACCTGGGTACCATAGATGGGATTCATCATCAGATGATTGCGGAGGAACGTGTGTACAAGAGGCCACCGCATAAATCCTAAATCAGCATCTTGACCATTCCTACATACATTCCAAATTTCGCTCATAACAATAAATATAGTAATATTTCTACGAACGTTTGATGAATGAGGCCCAGGATTTTGATGAGAACCTATACAAATACATTTAAATTGGCATTTATAGAGAAATGTTTGTGTTTGAATGATTCACAGGTTTATTAAAGAGTAAGTCACCCCCTACCAGAGTCTTAAGCCTCATTCATGCTTCTCCGTCAGCTCCGCAAGGAACAGACACGCACGGATTGACGGAAGCGTTTTGCTCTCATACTTCTCCGTCTCCTGGGGAGTGTTGCAAAGCAATACCCCGGCAGGACACCAGAGGGCGTAGCGCTGTTCTGTGGTATCCTGTCATGCATCGGTCCAAGATAGTGTGTTTATATTGTGTGTTTTATTTTTTATTTTTTTTGGTATATAAGAGACTTTTTAACACAGACAAAATTGTCTCTCATCCTCCACCTCTTCATGCGCTCACCACCTCTAAACCCACGTTTCCTGTCATTTCCGTCCACAAATAAAACGCTTGCTGCGCATCTTTTCACTCCTCCAGTCATGGGGGAATTAAACGTTCATATTTTAGAGTTTTTTCGCGAGGTATTCTTCAAGCTGCTCCGTGTCTGTCGCTAGTTATCCTCGGCTCTCTTTTATGTTTTTGAGGGCGCAATGCCGGCGGTGTAGACGACTGCGGCGTCCTGACCAATCACAAGCTTGCGTTGTCCGTCTCGACTGATGGATGTTTAGAAAAGAGAGCTGGACTCCGTCCGTCCTTGCGGAGCTCTCCGGCAGGCCCGCAAGGATGTTGCGTGTCTCCGCACTGACGCAGACGGAGAAGCATGAATCAGACTTTACTCCACTCCCACTTCATGTTTGAAAAATGCAACAAATGCCGTTGCCTGTCAGACCAAGGGGGCGGAGCCGCTAGCACATACACACACAGGCTCACAACAACATTGTGACATCATAATGTACCAGCTATCATCATAGCGTGCCACTTAGCCAATAGCGATGGCAGATTTAAATTCAAATGTAGTGAAGAGGTTTTACCTGAAGAGGGCGCTGACAATGACAGTTTTAGCCAGAATATTTAAATTTTAACTAAGATGCACTAAAGTGCAAAATTATTAACTAAACGTGTCTACAGCACGATTAAACATTCATTTATATAGTTTATCAGCTAAAAAAAGTTGATTTGGGGATGACTTGCTCTTTAAATAGCTTAATACTGAAGAAAACCTAAAGAAATGAGTGATTTTTCTACGGTACTTTTAATATTTTAGATCATGTATCATTAATTTGAATGTCTTCTTTTCTTGCCAAAGGTGTTGGGAAACCAGGAGACATGAATGGATTTGGTGGATACTTCGAGTTCCAGTTCTTCTAACTATATGTGTAAAGCAATGTTTCTTTGTTTAACTGAGCTTCAAAGCAAAATTCCAAGAATTAGATACTTGTCATCAACATATTTAACACCTATGTAACATTTGAAGCTTAAAGAAACCTAGCAGCAGGCTTCAGTACAAAATTTTAAGTCCCGTTTTTCCAGTTCCACATCTTAAGTGTGGTCCTAAAGACTCAACATGGCGACACCTGGAAATGGTCTGGTTGACTAGTTAGCTTAGCTTAGCATGAGGACCGGAAATGAGACTATATCTGACCAGTTTCTGGTTAAAGTTAGAAATCCAGAATGCTATTCCCTTCATCTTTTCACCTAAACCTTGTTTTGGCTGAATGGGTGACTCTGGATTTGCTATCAAAGGTTGGGTCAACTTACAGAGCCAGGAGAGCAAACAGAAACCTCCCTCTCTTCAGCTCCTCCTGGGGTTTTTTCAACGTTTTCCCAGACCAGAGAGAATATATGATGCCTCCAGGGACTTCTGGGTCTACGTCAGACTCTTTTGTCAGTTGGACATGACTAGAGAACCTGAAGACCAGGTGACATTCTAATTAGATGCGTGAACAACCTCAGCTGACTTTTCCCTCAGATATAACGGTAAATGGCCTGTATTTGATATAGCGCCTTCTATGGTTATACAACCCCCCAAAGTGCTGTACAACACCCACAAACAAATACGTTCACACGCTGGTGGTGATGAGCTTCAGTGGAGCTCAATGGCACCAATGGCTCAAACCTGAAACATCAGGGCGGCATCGGATGATGAAGCTCCCTACTTAATCTCTCCCATAATTCAGGCCTAGTCCACACGTAGCCGTTTTTTTTTTAAACGAATAACCGCCCCTCCAAAAACTTGCATCCACACCACCTCGTTTTAAAAAAAACTCTGTCCACACGTACCCGGATAAATACGTTGTTAAGGACATGCCAGACCTGTAGGCGGCAGTACGTCCCCCGTTCTTAACCTCGTCCTTCGTCTGTGGTCTTCCGCAAGGAGCAGTAATTCCGCTTGCAAAAACAAACAAGCAAAAAGCGCTTGGGCAATTGATAAAGCGAGCGCAGCTCTGAGGGCATCCACGCTGTCGGCTAGTGTAAACACAGGTCGCACACGTGATGTCAGCATTTTCGTTGTCGCGGAAAGTGACGTTGCGGACCTTAGAACTCCAGTTTTGTCTGTCCACACACAGACACCCAAAATGGAGAAAACGCAGATCTTCACTTTGGCCGGAGTTTTTAGAAAGATCCGTTTTCGTGTGAAAAAACTCTGTTTTCGTGTGGATGACAGGCCAAAACGTAGAAAAATACCTACGTTTTGGCAGATCCCCGGCTACGTGTGGACAGGGCCTCAGTCACTCGTATCCAAGATCTTGTTTTTTCGGTCACTATCCAAATCTCATGGCCAAAGGAAAGGGTTGGAACGTAGATGGACCAGATCAAACACCTGACCTTGTGGCTCACGTCCTTCTTCACCACAGCTGACGAGAGCATCTGCTGCTTAAACTCTAATCTGTCAGACTACGTTTCACTCCACTCAGGAACAAAACTCACTTCCAACCCAGAGGGAGTATCTCGCTCAGCTTTAAACCATCTGAGATCACACAGGAGGTCCTGACTAACAGATTCTGACAGAACTGCGGTGATTAAACCCGGAGGCTAAAAAACCAGACACCATAAAACTAAGTAGAAACTAGGGAAAGCCCTGGCAGAGACCAACCCACCCTGGGTATTATCAAGTGTCTGTGCCGGCAATAAGGAAGTCGCTCTTGTTTTAGTTGTACTGGGACCAGTTAGCTTTCAAATGTGGCCATTACTTATACATCACTCCCACAGGATACCTTGAAAGGAATGATCAAAAAAGGCCTATAGTTATATAGCTACATTAAACTTTCGCTAACTAGCATCACTTTTAGCATTAGTGTACCAGTTGTGCATCGTCATGTTTAAATGTTCAGCGCTGGAATTTCCAAATGAAAGTAACAGAGCTGTTGTCTGGTTTTAATTGTTAAAAGGTGAATATCATCTTTTTCCTGGGAATTTTGAGGATACTGGTCAGCAAACTCAGAATGCCGGACGCACAAAGGAATGAATTCAGCCAGTATAAGTGAGTATTTTACAGACTAGTACTGATTTGATGCATGGTTTGTTATTTTGGTTGTGCTGAATACATTTAAAGAGACAATGTGTAGTTTTTATCATTATTTTCTGGAAATATTCATCAAAATGTTGAAAGTAATGAAATGATGGTCAGTTGTTGAAAAATATTGGCGGCTTTGTAACATAACCCTAAAAATCAGGTCTACAATAAATGGCCCCGCCCCGGTTGCCTAGGAGATACATCTTCAGGAACCACCCAGACGTTTATGTTTATGTATTTAACAGACGCTTTTGTCCAAAGCGACTTACAAGTGACATCTTCCAATGTTTATGTTCTACCGAGGCGTGTGTTCTCTGTTTGTTAGCCATTTAGCTAGCTGAGCAAGGATACACGGGAGGGGTATTCTAGCCTAGCCTTGGTCAAAAATTACCCAGAATACACTGCTATATTTTCAAAAGGATGGCGGCTCAGAAGCTGGCAGCTATTTCGGGGGCTAATTTCAAGTTTAAATGTAAGTCAACTAATTTAAAATGTTTTTTTAGAACCAGAGCAGTTATCTATGGTTGGTTAGTTGCTTAGGAGTTGCAGCTTCGGTGGCTAGCAGGTAGTAACTCGCTTACATATTTAATTTAACAAATATATACACAATTTAAAAAGTAAAAGTTTTGTTATATATTTATATTGAAACTTCTACATATAAAATCTAATGTTATCTCCCGTGTCCACGTGACGTTACGCGACGGCTGTTGAAGCGTTAGGACGTCACATATGCAGCGTGCCGATTTCTTGTTTGTAGTCATGTTAATTACGAAGATTTACAAGCTGATAAATCACAAAGTACATGTCAGGCGCGGTTGAAACACACATCATTAGTTTTCATTTAAATTGCAGTACAACACTTGTGTGATCCAGGGCGCAAAGCAAAGCGGATTAGAAAATAGCGTTTTTAGCGTCGTTGACTTGCATTCATTTTTTTCTTTCTTCAAGGGACCCATGAGCCGACCGGAAAGGGAGACTTAGGGTGTTTCTCAATGCCAAGGAACCTTGCCTTGATGTCTTGGCCCCACCCCAGTTGCCTAGGAGATATGTCATCAGGATCCGCCAAGACGTGTTTAGAACATGAATCTTGGTTGGTTCGTGTTCTACCGAGGCGTGTGTTCTCTGTTTGCTAGCTGTTTAGCTAGCTGAGCGAGGATACACGAGAGGTGTTTTGTAGCTTAGCCTTGGTCAAAAATTACCCAGAATACACTGCGGTATTTTCAAAAGGGTGGTGGATCAGAAGCCGGCAGCTACTTCAGCTGCAAATTTCAAGTTTAAAAGTAAGTCAACTAATGTAAAATGTTTTTTAGATCCAAAGAAGTTATCTTTTGTTGGTTAGTTGCTTAGTAGTTGCAGCTTTGGTGGCTAGCGAGTAGTAACTCGCTTATATTTTTAATTTAATAAATATATACACAATTGAAAAAGTAAAAGTCTCATTATATATTTATATTGAAACTTATACGTATAAAATATAACTTTGTCTCCCGTGCCACGAGATCGCCGTGGAAGTCGCAGTCACGTGATGTAAGTCTGTTCCATTAAGCCCTTTTCTTTGACCAAGGACAGTGTCCTCGTAAGCAAGGCGCCTGGCCTCGCAGGACATCGCCTTTCAAGGCCAGGCGCCTTGACATTGAGAAACACCCTTAGGCTCCCTACAACAAGGTAGCAGGAAGATGGTGGCATTTATCCTAAATGTTGTTGCTGTGTTGTTTTCTGTTCTGCTTACCTCTGCTACAGGTAATAATATACTTCTATTTGCTACTTGAGCAACTGCAAATCTGCACGTAACTTTTATTTTGAAAAGTTCCAGATGTTTTTACACTGCTTTTGTGTTTGACTTCCTGTCTGATCCAACCTAAACTTCTGAGCTTGACGTGTTCTGGAAGCGTAGTGCGCTACAAATAAACTTGAATGGTAAATTTAGCGGGATGACGTGTCCGTACGCTTCTGGAAAGTGTCCAAAAAGCGATACCTCCTGGCCGGCGGAAACACACTCATCCACTATGATGGAAGCTAATTGCTGCGTTCTACGCTTTGTGGATGTTACGCAATGCTTACTGGGCCTTACCACCAGATGTGTAAACATCACATAACATCCACGTAAAATATAGTATGTAGTATGTACCTGCCATGAAGCGTTACTACTCTTCTAGAACACCGCAGTTCATATCAGGCCAGACAGGAAGTTAAACACAAAAGCAGTGCCAGCAGAACCTTTCAAAATAAAAGTCCCGTGCAGATTTCCAGTTGCTTAACTAGTAAAAAAAAAATGTACGCCATTTCCTGTGAAACCTCTGTAGCCGAGGTAAACAGAATTGAGCACAAACCACAGACCTTTTTTGGAAACACGCTTCCATCTTTCTCCTAGCTTGTTGTCACGGGAACACACAAAATCACGCCTGGTTTTGCAATTCTCCCGTGACTTTGCTGCTGTTTTGCATGTGAAATTGCACGGGACACGCTCCTGGTGGGAAGAGAGCTCGTGGGTAATTTGTGTCTATTACATAACGTCACTCGTGCATCCAGTGGACGGGCTGGGTTACTCGTCTGGTGGAAGAGCTTGGTAACTGTTGGACTGATCTGTTTAAGAGTTTGTCTTTTAGCTCAGTGAGGAAACGAGTGGTCAGAGGCCCTTAAAGTCCAATACTGAATAAAAAATATTTACGTTAATCTGAACATTCGGTCACTTTTTCACTAATGATGATATTCAGAAGTCAAATGCTGTTTTCCTTTAACAGAAGGCTGATCAAGTCCACCTTTTTCCTGGTGGCTCTGTTCGGTCTGCACTACATCCTTTTTGTTTTCCTGCCTGTGGAAGTCAGCAGTTCCGTGTTTAAGATCTGGATGTTTGTGGAGCTGGCTCTCTCGTCCACACAGGTACATTTCTACATTCAGAAAACAGAAATGATGTCAGAAAAACCAACACACCCCCACCCTTTGTCTCCTCCCACCTGGAAGGGCTTTGTGGTTGCTGTCCTCTACTGTTTCGTGAACGGAGAGGTGAGGCCTGAGGATAGAAGTCTGGAACTGGATTCATTAGGGATTGATCTGATAATGTACACATTTTTAGGTGCAGCAGGAGTTTAGGAGGAGGTGGAGGAGATGGAGGCTCGTCCAGCACCTCCCCAGTCGGCGCCAGGCGCATCGCAGCTCCATCAGTCACAGCGGCTCTCCCCACACCCAGGTGTCCCTGCTGCCCAGCTCTCCAGGCAGCCTGATGACCAGAGCGCTCCCTCTGGACACTCTGGAGATGTGACCCAGAGTCTGATAGGAGTGTCTGAATAAAATAACACATTTTGATATTCCATCAAATTATGTAATTTTTTTTCGTTGTATTTCCGTGTATTTCTACGTGTTTTACATCATTAGTATCCTTTTGACTCCTTAGCTCCCCCCAGTGGACACTAGTAGGATCTAACCGTATTAAATTATTTTCTTGTTTAACTTTGAAATTCAAATATTTATTTTTCTTTCCTTAAATGAACAAAAGGGTTTGTAAATTAACAAATATTTTAAGTAATAGTTGACTGTTAGTCTTGTATTTTCATGCATTTATTTACATACAATTGGTTTATTGTTTTTAAACAATTTAATATAAGAAAATAAAAAAAATTGTTTTTCACTTTTTATGTTTTGGTTCTTTTATTTTTTATAAAAAGATGGAAAATTCTTAAGATATTTCTGGCGAAAAAGTGTGGCAAATGCCTCATTATTCCATGGTGCCATGCTCATTTAAATTGGATGTGTCCTGTCAGGAATCTCTCACGTGTCTGAGCAGAACCTCCCTGAACCGTCTACAGGTGGTTCAGAACGCCTGTGCTCGGCTTCTGACCAAGTCCTCCAAACACACCCACATCACCCCGCTTCTCCTCCAGCTTCACTGGCTGCCAGTCACCTTCAGGGTTCATTTCAAGATCCTGGTTCTGGTCTACAGGGCCTTACATGGACAAGCACCATCTTACATTGGTGATCTTCTCAGTCCCTGCAGGCGCATCACTAAATGAAACCAGTCAGCAGTGTTCACGCACTAAAACATGCAGGAAATGTGCTGGAAGCAGACTGCAGAACCAGGAATTTCAGCTAAATGTTTTCTAAGTCCAACAGGAGGCAAACTGCCAACTCTAAAGTTGCAAGTGCGATTTTCTGGCCACAGAGAGCAGTAGGAGTCTGAGTTACGTTTCATTAACCTTGTAGAGGACCGTTTTAAACATACTTGCTCAAGAAAAGTATGTAATAATAGGAAAAGTTGCATAGTCTGCCTTTAATATGTGCTCAGCACCCTGATGTCTTCCATAACTGAGCCACTGTGGGCGACGGTGGCACGGGAGTTAAGTGCTCACCCCGTAATCGGAAGGTTGCAGGTTCGAGCCCCGTTCAGTCTGTCGCTGTGTCCTTGGGCAAGGCACTTAACCCACGTTGCCTGCTGGTGGTGGTCGGAGGGACCGGTGGCGCCAGTGCTCGGCAGCCTCGCCTCTGTCAGTGCACCCCAGGGCAGCTGTGGCTACATCGTAGCTCATCCCCACCAGTGTGTGAATGACTGGTTGTGTTGTAAAGCGCCTTGGGGGGTTCCAGGACTCTAGAAGGCACCATATCAAATACAGGCCATTTACCATAACTGCTCCAAGAGGATTCAGTGTTCAGATCTATTTTTCCAGTGTACATTTGCATGAGCAGATGCAGAAACTGTGCAAAGAACATAAAACGGACCGTGTCTGACCCATGCGCTCTACACCATCTGTCCTCCAGACAGAAGACTGCATATCCTCAAAGGCCAGATAACAAGGTCTCGTGTTTTATGCCCGATCGGCACATTTTGTTCTGTTAGTTTGATGATAATAAATGTCACTGAACTTGACAACAAAAGGTTTTAAATGATTGTATTTAAAATATTGTTACGGTATTTTGTTTTGATTCTTAGTGAAAAGTCAAATTTTCCCAGATGGAATTAATAACCGTTACTTTTTTAAAAATAATAATAAAAAAAAGAAGTTTAACGTTACAATAAGTGTTTATTTTTTACAGTGTTCCAGTTGACCAGCTCAGGGTTTGTCTAACAATTTCTAACAAGCTTTCTTCCGGAAACAAAAGGAAACATTTCTAAAAAAAAAAACAACAACAAAAACTCTAGATTCCATATTTTTCTTTCAGCTTCTCCGCTACATCAACATAAGCCGCCATCGCTTGTTCCTTAGTCAGACCTGTCGAAGAGAAACGAGAGAAACTGACTCAGTCCGATATTTGATTTGAATTTAACAACCTTACTTTAACTAAATCCTACCTTTCTTAGCATTCCATGCATCCCATTTGGCCTTGGCTGTGAACTCAAACATGCCTGGACGCTCTGTGGGAATGAATGGAAACATCAGTGACAGGGTTCTGCAGGAACAACGAGACTTCTGTGTTTGCTCAGAAACAAGCGATCGGACCACACGGGAGCATTGTTACCATCTCAAGTCAGGAGTGTGAGATCAGTAACAAGTCCATGCACGGGAGTTCCAACTAATTCCTGAAGAACCAGTCACTACAGCCTAAAACCAGAGTTAACCTTTGCACTCTGACATGAAATCTGACCAGTCAGGCCTCTTTTGTTACTCAGCTCCACCCGTTGCTTAATTTAGAAAATCCCAACACAAAACTGTCAGTTTATCCTGTTATTTTAGAGTTACTGACCTGTGCTAATGTCACCGACCGTGGCTTGCTTGTATAAGCCGTACAGAGCAGCCACTTCTCCTTGATCTGGTTTTTGTTTCAGGACTTTCACCTCCTCAGCTGCTTTCTCAAAGGCATCCTGATTTTTTTTTAAAGGGAAACAAGTTGAGTCACCTCCTCTCACAAGCGAACCTTTGCACAGTTTCAACATTTTGTCTAAGCACATGTGCGAACACCTCCATAAAAGCTGCATCGGACTCTTGTCTAAACACCTTAAATAACTAATGAAACATGAAACAACACTGTAAAACCGAAAAGCTTGGATTAAACAGCTTAAACTTACAGTCATGGCTGCAGATGTAGGAAGTTTTTGCTGCTGCTGCTGCTGCTGCTGTTGAACTCACCCTCTTCAGCTCAACTAGTCACACAAAGTGGGAGGAGCTTAAACCAGAACAGGAAACAGGTTAGGCCAGAAAAAACATTTCAAAATCAAAGAGCACCTGAGTAAATACAGACTAAACCGGTTCTACGTGAAAAAGCAATAGAATCATGAATTAAAGGGGCAGTATGTAAGAATATATTGAGAATTTTACAGTGAGAGAATCCCAAAAGAGTCTGATGTTTCAGTCATTTTGGAAGGACGGTTAAACTGAAACATATTTTATATCTAGCTGGCTAAGGGGATTGTCAGTTTTTCTCCTTTCAAAACAAGGGCCAGCATTGCAGCCACCATAATTGTAGTTTGACGACAGCCAAGAGAAAGCTCCAGAGTTTTTTCACGTGGTTGCAGTAACCAGATCTTACCACAGGATGTCACTTTTACTTCATTTCTACATATTGCACCTTTAACTGTGATTAAACACAATATTTAGGAAGAAGAGTTCAGCATTACCAGAACTAGAAGAAATGGGGAGTCTAAGCCACGCTCGTTAATTTCCAATCCATGGGTTCACTACCCTATGGGCCCAGTCCCAATACTCGGACTGCGCTCTACGGCCTTCTGTGAAGTGCACTTGGAGGAAGTGCGCTGTAAGACTGCGAGTGCGTAGTACACAAGTGTGCAAATAATTGCTGAACTGTGACAGGGAGCATTGTGTCATCGACTGCGATGCATGCCAGTATGCTGGTCACTGTGATACATTTTAAAAAACATTTTATTAACAACTTTCAAACAAAAACAAAACAAACAATTATTTGACAAAATGTACATTCATTGCTGTCCACATGAAAGCTTTGTCTAAAACATTAGGAGCATCAATTAATCAACCCTAAAATGAATAACATTTGAAAATGCATATTGTCAGAAAAGGCACTTGAGCCTTTGCTCCTGGAGCAATGGATTGTGGGTAATACCCTCCGCCGAAGTCCACATCAATGCAGACTTGGGTCAAGTGTACATCAAGAGTGCAAAAGCGACGTGGTCAACTTCCGCACTTGAGAATCGGGACACCCTACGCCAAGGGTCTCCAACCTTTCTTGGCCTGTGAGCTATTTTTCCACAAGTACAGAAGAGCTACTACCATATGATTCATTCACTTTAATACTTTCTGTGTGTGAATATGCTTACTATGTTGAAAAAATGCTATACTTACTATTTTAACATGCAAAAAAATAGTGACAATCTGAAAATCAAACAAAATTAAACATTTTGTTTATTCACTAATTAGATACTTTCAGATAATTAACAGCCCCTCCTGCTGTCCCTGTCACTACCAACCCAGCCGTCGTTGTGGGTGACACAGGCCTGAACAGTATCGCACCATCCCAACCCACCGCTCTTGTTTTCCCCAAGCGCCATTTTGGGAAGAACATGTGCTCATTTTGCCCTGCCTGGTATCGTGAGAGACCGTGGCTGGAATATTCAGTAAAGCTGGATGCGTGCTTTTGTTTCCCATGTCGCAAGTTTGGGGGGAAGAACAATGATAGGGATTTGGTTTTCACAAAACAAGGATTTAATAACTGGAAAACAGCACTGGAAAAGGACAAGGGATTCACAAAGCATGCATCAAGTCAATGCCACATAAAAAAGGAAAAAGCCTGGTCTGAAATGTCCCAGAGTGGCCACAGGGGAAGCAATAGGTAATTTACCGTAAATCCTCTAATATTAGCCTGTATTTAATCAACTGCCGGGTATCATATTTTGGCCGGTGTCGGAGTCGGCGGAGGTGAATAATGGCCGGTTTTTTATTGTGGCCGGGTGGAATGTGGTAACAAGCAAGTACGGGGGGCGGTTGTGTCATCGTCTCACTTTTGATTTGCCAGTGATAGACCGCGAGGGTAACCTTAACCGTGCGGAGACGAAGAGGAGGCGAAAATTTGATATCAAGTTCAAAGAGAACGTGCTGATTATGCTGCAGAACACTCTGGGGAGCAGTAGGGGTTGTATGAACTAGTCACTAGTCGACTTCACCGCTCTATAGTGACTTTTTATGCCTGTCATCGACTGGTCGCTGTCATGTGATAATGACCGGCAAGATGCAGTCCTCGGAAAAGACAGCAGCCTGCTGTCAGCAGGTGACAAGCTCCTGCGCGTCAGGAGGCAACGTGCTGTGCCAGAGCGTCGGTACCAACACCCGCCACAAAACGGACATTTAACCAAATTGTGACGTTTACCCTCTTGCAATTTAACCTTCCCCTCACCCCCATCCTAACCTTAACCAGCTTGCGCATGCAAAGCTCTGACTGTTGACGCGCTCCAGACATCTGCGTCCTGAGCACGGCCACAGTAACGTTATCAAATCAGGTGTTGCCACCTCAAAAACTAATTTAACACGCTGTAATATCCTCAAGCAGACACAGTGACATCCAGAGAGTAGGGTCTTGGTTGAACCGTTTATTCTCATCACACCGAAGCACCACAGCTTACGTTACACACACATGAATGAAGTGCCCCGGACCTAGCTAAACAGTACTACCAGAATGGAGCACTGGCTCTCCCTAGAGGCGTCATGAAGTAGTTTCCTACCTCAACTACTACACCCCCCCCATCCAGACAAAAACAAAGATGAAAAATAACACCATTTCCCATAAGCTAAAACCCACACCCCGAAAAACCACCACAAACCGTAACAACCCTGTAACCATGCGAGTATTATTATGGGTAGCATTTTTTTTTTATATATAGTAGACCTTATATAACATACAGCAAGAACAAACAACAGTTTCACATGACACTCCCACTTAACTAACTAGGGAATTCGGGTAGACCACCTCATCCCGGCGAGCTTCCAGGGCGCATTCTTGCCCTTGCCGTGGAGCTCACCACTAACTAAGAATAGTCACTCAAATACGCAGGAGGCCTCCTGCTTCTCTGCGATCTCCTCACTTCCGGTTGTCCCCCTGCCGGCACCGCCTCTACCCTCTCCGGCCACAATGCTGTTGTCAATGGATCGTCCGAGTCCACTTGGCTGGTTGATTCCGTTGCGGCTGTGCTGTTTTCATTCAGGACAGGAGACAACACCGGAACATGTTCTGTTATTTCCGATAGGGGCGACCTGTGACGCACCTGATCGATATGTCTTCTCACCACATTCCCATTTCCTAGTGCGACTTTGCATGAGACAGGACCCGTCATCGCAGCAACAGCCCCCGGAACCCAGCATGGACCCGAACCAAAGTTCCGAGTGTAGACCAAATCTCCTTCATCCAGCATCCTGTCCCTGGCATGCATGTCATGATAATACTTTTGCTTCCCTTGTTTACCAATCAGTCTGCCTTTGAAATCGGGGTGTATGAGATCCAAAGTTGATCTTAGTTTCCTTCCGCATAGAAGTTCAGCTGGTGACTTGCCTGTTGTTGACTGAGGAGTAATGCGATAACAAAACAGAGCTCGGGCCATTTTAGTCTCCACTGACCCCCCTGTGCTTTTTTTCATCAATGACTTAAAAGTCTGAACGGCGCGCTCTGCCAACCCATTCGAAGAAGCATGGTATGGGGCTGTGGTGATGTGGCGAATCCCATTTTTTTGTGTGAATTCCTGGAACTCTTCGTCTTCGTCGTCTTCGTCTTCCTCCGCTTATCCGGGTCCGGGTCGCGGGGGCAGCATCCCAATTAGGGAGCGCCAGGCCATCCTCTCCCCGGCCTTGTCCACCAGCTCCTCCGGCAGGACCCCAAGGCGTTCCCGGACCAGATTGGAGATGTAACCTCTCCAACGTGTCCTGGGTCGACCCGGGGGCCTTCTGCCGGCAGGACATGCCCGAAAAACCTCCCCGGGGAGGCGTCCAGGAGGCATCCTGGCCAGATGCCCAAACCACCTCAACTGGCTCCTTTCGATCCGGAGGAGCAGCGGTTCTACTCCGAGTCCCTCCCGAATGTCCGAGCTCCTCACCCTATCTCTAAGGCTGAGCCCGGCCACCCTACGGAGGAAACTCATTTCGGCCGCTTGTATCCGCGATCTCGTTCTTTCGGTCATTACCCAAAGCTCATGACCAAAGGTGAGGATTGGGACGTAGATCGACCGGTAAATCGAGAGCCTGGCTTTCTGGCTCAGCTCCCTCTTCCCCACGACAGATCGGCTCAGCGTCCGCATCACTGCAGACGCCGAACCAATCCGCCTGTCGATCTCCCGATCCCTCCTACCTTCACTCGTGAACAAGACCCCGAGATACTTAAACTCCTCCACTTGAGGTAGGACCTCTCCCCCGACCCGGAGGTGGCAAGCCACCCTTTTCCGGTCGAGAACCATGGTCTCAGATTTGGAGGTGCTGATCCTCATCCCAGCCGCTTCACATTCGGCCGCGAACCTACCCAGCAAGAGCTGAAGGTCAGAGCTGGATGAAGCTAGGAGGACCACATCATCCGCAAAAAGCAGAGACGAGATTCTCCTGCCACCAAACTCGACACACTCCACACCACGGCTGCGTCTAGAAATTCTGTCCATAAAAGTGATGAACAGAACCGGTGACAAAGGGCAGCCCTGGCGGAGTCCAACCCTCACTGGGAACAGGTCCGACTTACTACCGGCTATGCGGACCAAACTCACGCTCCTCTGGTAAAGGGACTGAATGGCCCTTAACAGAAAGCCACCCACCCCATACTCCTGGAGCGTCCCCCACAGGGTGCCCCTGGGGACACGGTCATAAGCCTTCTCCAAATCCACAAAGCACATGTGGATTGGTTGGGCAAATTCCCATGCCCCCTCCATCACCCTTGCAAGGGTATAGAGCTGGTCCACAGTTCCACGGCCAGGAGGAAAACCACATTGCTCCTCCTCTATCTGAGATTCAACTATCGATCGGACCCTCCTCTCCAGTACCTTGGCGTAGACCTTTCCAGGGAGGCTGAGGAGTGTGATCCCCCTATAGTTGGAACACACCCTCAGGTCACCCTTCTTAAAGATGGGGACCACCACCCCGGTCTGCCACTCCCTAGGAACTGCCCCCGATGACCACGCAATGTTGTAGAGACGTGTCAACCATGACAGCCCTACAACATCCATAGCCTTGAGATACCCAGGACGAACCTCATCCGCCCCCGGGGCTCCGCCGCTGTGTAGTTGTTTGACTACCTCAGCAACTTCTGCCCCCGAGATCGGACAGTCCATCCCCAGGCCTCCCAGCTCTGGTTCCTCCTCGGAATGCG